CAGATTTCTTTTCCTTTTCCTTTCCCTGGTTTTCTTTCCCATTTTATCCCTCTCTTTGATCAATCTTCCACCTTCCACCGTCCTGTCCCGTCCCGCTGCGTTCCTTTTCAAATAAAAAACAAAAGTGATATCGGTATCGTTGGGTTTTACGTTTTTATTTTTTTTCCTTAACGCTTTATGTTTACGTTTGTTGTCTCTGCTTTCTCTTCTTTTTTTGTTCCTCCTCAAGCTTCCAATTCCCCCCTTCCTATGGCTGGGTATGGCTACATGGATGATGCATAGTTTTTTTCTCTCTTCTCCTTAAAGCGCTTTGGCATAGGGCAGGCAAAAAAACGACATAAAGAACGGGAGAACTCGCAAGGCAAAACGGAAAAAGGGTATATAACCTTTTTTGTACTTTCGTTGCTCCTCACCTGTGTTTTCTTTTTGTGTTGACTTTTTTGCCCATTTTTACGCATGGTTTCATCCGTCTGTTTTTACGGCCCCTTTTTTTAATTCTAGAAAGAAAAAGGAGGAGATGGATTTTTTTCTCATGCGTGTGACTGGGAGGTTTTCCAAAGATTTTGTTTTTTTAATGTTTAGTTAATACTCTTGTTATTTACTTTATGCTTTGTTTTTATTTGTATGTGCGTTTTCCAAGTCGCTATGTAACTAGCTAGCTGAGGGGTTACGTTTTCCTTAAAAAGATCATTATTTCTGTCTTATACGAATCCTGCTATTTTTTCATTTCTTGTTCTTTTCAACCTTTTCTATCTCGTCAACATTTGACAAGTTGTTCCCTTTATCTTCTGAAGTCTTGATGCCATATGGGATAACTTTCGCTTTTTCTTCTTTTTTCCGTCTTGATTTTCCATATTGAATCAAACTCAAAGCTAGTTTCTTTATTATTAATTAGGTTTTTCGGTTTTTCGGTTTTTTTTTTTTTTTTTTTCATGTTACGATATGGCCATATATGGACATGCTACGACGTGCGGATGATAGTGAAAGCTAATGCGTAAAATGTTTTATTTTATTTTCTTTCCTTTCCTACCTTCCTTCTTTTCTTCTCCTTTTTAAATATCACGAAATCGATAGGATGGAATTTATATTCTTCCTCCCACTCCCAATTTATTTCAACAGCTAATTTATGGCATGGAGAGGTATACTTTTCCGTCTCTCTTATTATTGAGAGCCTCGGAAATATAGAGGAGCCATTTGCTCTCCTATGTTATTTATTTATCAGAGGTTTACATTTCTTCAAGATATGTAATAAATTCTGTTCTTCACTTCTAAATTAGCTTATCTTTATTCTATTGCGATTTTCGCTCCTCCGCTTCGGATGAGTGTGATGCGGATTTCTTTTTCTTCACCATGTCATGACTCTCTACTTTTATTTATATATAACATTGGAAGACTGGACAAGATACAGAGCTTACGTGGGCAATGTCCCGATGTGAAGAATGCGACTATACGCGAACAAGAAAAGGGGGCTTTTTGGTATATGGTAGACAGCAGTCACAGTTGGAGGAAAAGAGCTTGACCAAGCTCCTTTGCATATCGATCAACAGCGGAGTATCAATACTCCAGCATCTATCTATCTGTCAAAGGAAACCCCCCCGGGTGAAACTGAAGACCTATCCATAAGATTCATAGGGTACTTCGCATGATGGACAAACAGGCAATGATAAACCTGTGTCGGTGAGGCGGCGTCTATCTCATTGAGGCCAAGTTTCCTCCTTCTCCTCCTTCTCCTCCTTCTCCTCTCCACTTATTTGCAGAGGACACTTGCATCTTGTCAATACACACTCCACTTTAAACCCCATCAGCATCTTCGCTCTGATATCCCTTCATTCCTGTCGGCGGATGGAAACACGATTACTTACTCCGCTCCATTCCTTGTTCTCTTTCAAACAGGCTCCCACCACCAGAACTACAGCCCCCAACGCTTTTTGCCCTTGTGCTTGTATTTTATAGTACACCGACATTCCCAACAACCCTACAATGTCGCAAGGTACCAAAGCCATGGACCCTATTCCGAACTCTGATCCAAATGCAAATACAGCTCCATCCCTCTTCTCTCCCGCGTCCCTCCTGTGGGCACACCAACTCCGACGCGAACACAACACCCTCGTCTCCCGCCTCGACGCTCTCGAAGAGGCCCTGGCATCCTCTTCTGCTAAGGCAATCACAACGACGGAAGACTTGAAGTCGGATCTCGAGACGAGGGTGAAGGAGGTTGGTGATATACTTGGTGTGGCTCAGGGCGAGGTTGACATGATTAAAGCGGGTATTGAAGAGTTGATGGGGTGGAAAGAAGTTTTCGAACAGAGTCAGAGAGATGCTGTGGGGAAGTGGGAGAGAAAGGAGGAGGAATGGAGAAGGGAGGGGGAGAAGAGGGAGGAGGCGAGGCAACTGGTTGAGGGGGGTTTAAGAGAGATCTTAGATGGAGTTAGAGGGTTGAAAAGGGTAGTGGAGGAGATGAGGAGGGAGAGGGAGCAGGAGAAGGAGAAAGAAAAGGAACGGGACAAAGAAAAAGAAATGAGTGAGTATACATATCCTCTTCCTATTTGATCCTTTTTTGTATTCAATTCATCAAAATTTCTAACTCCACTCGATTTCAACTCCCAATCCACATCCACAGAAACCCTACCTTACAAAGCCACTTATCTCAATCTAGAACACAGCGACGATGACGACAACGAACCATTCCGCTCTCCCTCCCTACCCCCCATCCTTCATGCTCCGCACAGCCAACAGCGCCAGAGACACAACGTCCCATCCACAATCTCTGGCACTCCCACAATGACCCACCTCCCCAGCTCAACGCCAACCCGCAGCTCCCTCCCACCACAAGCACCACCCGATGGCTATTCCGCCATCCTCGTCCCAGATTCCATGCCACCCGCTCCCCCATCACCGCATCCCGACCAAACCGCTGCCGCCGACTGCGAATTCCAAACCTCTCCGCCACGATTCCCCCACTCCCCCATAGCTCAACCCTCAGGAAATTTTGAATACGCGAATATAGAAAAGGCAAAAGAAGATGAAGTCCAGGCTCCGCAACAGGGACCTGGCGAAACTCTTGAATCGTATATGGAACGCTGTTGGGTGGTGTTATCGCGATGTCCGCAGGGTGAAGAGAGGAGAGTCATATCAACTTTTTGGGGAGGGATGGAGGATGGAAATGCTAAAGGTGGTTTGGGAGAGGAGTTGGAGAGGCGGGGGTGGAAGTGGGAAGTTGTTAGGCAGTTTGTAGATAGTCTGAGTGAGGGATTAGGAGAAGAGGGCAAAGGGAAAATGGAGGAGGGAGGGTTAGCTGAAACGGGGAAAAGGGATAGATGTCTTGTTAGGGGTGAGGGGAACGTAGCAACAGGTAGAAATGGGGCTGTTGAGAAGAAGAGGAGAAAGGCGAAGGTGAAGAAGAGAAGGGCTATCCCTGTTATTTGGCCGGTTGACGAGGAGGGGGAAGGGTGGCTTGTTGTGCAGAATGGACTGACTTGATATTTCTAACGTAATGTATGCATATGTATATATCTACATGGGACTGGGATACAGCGGAGAGATAGGGTGAAAGTGGACGGAGGAACCTAGGAACTGAGAAAGATTAACTGCTCTGTGCATGTATGTATGTATGTACATATGTCTATTCGCAATGGTATATCCATATAGAAAACACAAACCCCAACGCACAGAAAACATAATTTAGAATAAACCCCAAAACAACGGAAAAGCAAGCTTACACAACACCCACACCATCTTAGCTCCCTATCGATCCAATCCCCCTCTTAAATCAAAACTCCGCAAACTCATATCTTCCATCCACCCTATCCCTAACCACAACCTCAATCTTCCCCTCCTCAACCTCCCGCCCCCCAACCTCAATGCCCGCCGTCATAACCTGCCCATCCCGAACCTCACCCACACCTTTTGGAGTGCCCGTCAACACCAAATCCCCCGGCTCCAGGGTCATCACACGCGAGATATCCGCTAGCTGGCGCGGGACTCGATAGAGCATCAGGTTGGTGTTATCGCGCTGGCGCAGCTGGCCATCGACAGAGAGGTGGAGAGTAGCGTTGTGCGGGTCTGGGATGCAGGATTTTGGAATCACAGCGGAGATGGGGAGGAAAGTGTCGAAGCCTTTGGCGATGGACCAGGGTAACCCGGCCTTTTTGGAGGCGTCTTGGATGTTGCGCGCTGTTAGGTCGATGGCGAGGGTGTATGCTGGCAGATTTGGGAGGGTTTGGTTAGTATATTTTGCTGTGTGCTGTGCTGTGTTGTGCTTTGCTAACGGCGGTTTGGAAATGTTGATATTTTGGAAGATCTTGCTTCGTGCCAGAGGCTATATATATATATATATATATATATATATATAGTGGACATACCTGATATGGCGTCCAAAGCGCCACGTTCGTCTGCCGGGTCATGGTCACGAAGCGTCTTGCCTATAACTAATCCGAGCTCGACTTCATAATGTAGGCTCACGCCCTTGGGGCGCAGAACGGGCCCGCTGTTCGGGAGGAGGATGGAAGAGGGTGGTTTGAGGAAGAAGAATGGTTGCTTTGGGCGAACGTTGTTGAGCTCTGTTATGTGGTCACTGGTTTATATGTCCTTGCATTAACAGATACAGCGCACCAGATCGGAAGGCAAGTTACGTTTGTCATTATAATTGCAATTGACAAGGTTAGTTTTCTTAAGGAGAACATACGCATAGTTTCGGCCGATGCACATCACCTTCCGGCAATTGGCTCGAATAGATGCCATTGTTCTCCAGAGTGGTCTGCGAAATGTACTACACAAGACAGGTCAATTATCTAACTCCTTTCCAGTGTAATATGGGGAGGGGAAGCGGTGGTAATAACAATAATGGCGCTGGCGGTGGAGTCAATACTTCTCAATATCTGCTTTTGAGCTCGGCTATGCCTTTGGTGGAAACTTTGGCAGCCGAGCTTGGTGGATATCATGTGACCTATTGCCGGTGTGTGTGAAAGGGAAGCTGTAAGAATCTAAAAATATCTGTTTCCTGGACAAACACTGATGTGAAAGATTGAGGGGAACAAACACCTATAATTACCTATGAAGGTCGCTGAAATCCTGTCAGATCTGACATCTCTGAGGGCTTGCGTAAGTATACACGCTTTTCTATATCTCTCCGGGAAGTCCACTAATGTTTCGTTTATTTGTAAACAGGGCCATGCCGAAGCACTCGCACTCGTGAATGTCCACAAGACCATCGCGAACTCAGATCCGCAGCAGCAGAACCGGAAGCAGACTGAACAGGTCCTTTCCCCAAATATTGGTGAATCAACCCTAACCACGCAATCCGAAGAACTGCGCCGCGCAAAAGATCTCGTTGAGCTTCATCATGATATCAAGTTAAAGCAGCTGAACAGGCACAATGGTGGCTTGAATGAGGAGCTTCAGAAGGCACGACGGGATGTTGATCGCGTGTTGCAGGAGTTGGGGTAACTGAAAGGGAAAAGGAAGAAGCGGATTCGTTATGCATCACATGTATTCCCAGCGATTGCCAATAATGTCCCTACGGTCTTGACTCATAGGGGACGGCGGAGTCCATCATATGGAGTTCTTAGCGAGATTCTTGATCCATAGCCAAATTCCACTCCGAATATCGAAGTGAACGATAGGCCAAACGTGACGCGGGGACTAGTGTTGACCATGGGCTTCGAGGCTCCGATGAAGCTTCAGAGCGGGCAGTCATTGTATACATCTCCAATGTATACGCTAGAAATCCTAATATGAACATTTATGAACTCATTAAATGTGCCTATCCAGGAGTGATTCATACAGAAACTTTAACTTTAGTAGATAATGATGTCCTCCAAAATTAAGGATAATGTTTAATGCGATAATTGTTGTAATTAATAAGTACTTTTACAGTTGCTAGCTGAGATGCGGCGGTCGTTCGATCTGTCCCATACGAAACTTTCCAGCGCAGCACAACGCGCCTTCGCATTGGTTAATACGCCTCACCATATGGTGGTCTTAACTAAAAGGCACGGGCAGCGCGATGGAGCCGAGCAAAGGTCCAAACCATACAGTGGTCTGTAGCGGGTGCTGGTGCAAGAAACTGACGAAGCAGGCCAATACAGTAGCCGACGCTCAAGGAGGATCAGGATGTGGAAACATCACAGGAAAGACAAGCCTTGAGCAGCATGACAGCCGAACCTGTGAGACCCTAGAGAAAAAGCACAGTCTGTGATGGTGTGATCAGAGCTGTCTTGTCCAGTTTGATGTTGAAGCCATGTTACAGAATGGACCAAAGAGAGTTGATGTGGTGCTTTCTAGAGGTCACCATAGACTCAGAGGGTCTTCTCATGGTGGTTGCCTGATAAAAACAGAGTGTGTTGTGGTAGTAGTGTTACGACGAGACTCAAGACTGAGATATTATGGCGGACAGCTTCTAAGAGGGTAGAGAACTAGAAGGGTATTTGGAAGTTGAAGCAAACTTCATGAAAACAATATAGCAGAGGAGTATTATGTAGTATTCTTCAAAGAATAGAACATGTATTGCTACGGGCTGTTAGATGAAAAGCACAATTTTGAGAATCAAGAGCTACCAATAATTGAGAAAAAAGCTTTACTCACACGGGATTGAAGTTCTCAGTCCATCCCTTGATAGGGAGACCACCACTGATTGGTCTCTTTGGATATGACGCTATTGCAGCTCGAGCTAGCACAATATTATCAACTAATTCAGAGTACAAAGTATTGCTCCGGAGGGAACCCCGGATAAGTTTGCTGTCCAACTTTGATCCGCCTCCAATCTAGCCCTAAAATGCTCGATTATTAGCTGGTAGATTAGCTTTGACTAGTATAACCATGGTTTCAACCTTCAAGCTCACTCTGTTGCACTCTGTAAAAGCCATACTTGGAAGAATCGTAGAATACTGCGTACATTATATAGCAGATACCATGATTCTATTTTACTTGAGTCATAATCACCAAAGGATCCGCTGGACTGTACACCCAGCTTTACATTGTTCCAGGCCGGTTCTTTCTCTACTCTTTCCTCCCTGGGCTCTGCACTTCAACACGTCGGAACTGGTGATTTTTTGCCTCTTTCTTCTGTAGTTTCATTATCCCCAAAATGACTTTCTTGTTCATTTCTAAGCTTCTACTTATCATCGCGCGTAGGTCTCGTGGAAGCGTTCACGATGTCCCAAACTGCCTCCTCCAGAAGGCGGATGAATAGGAGCTCCGAGGAAGCCTATGCCTCACCTGTTCTGCGGTTTCTGTCTGAACCCCCAGCGTCGCTGCCGTCACCTCACATCTCGCAAGAGCGTTTCAGAAGGACTCGTGGTTCAAGCACTGATGAGGATGAGACTGAAGATGGCATTCTTAGCGAAGATTTTCGGGTCGGTAGCCCGTTTCTATGCACTGTTCCTGCCATAGGTACTCCACTTGCATCAGATCATCCACTCCAGAGACAGTGGCCAGAGCTACGCCCTAAGTTCGTCGAAATCCTCTCGAAGTATCGGATCCGTCATAGCACCATGGATCCATGCCTTCGAACGTCTGAAACATATGAAGATGAAGGCCCGATTGAAACGGTCCTCATCTGTGCACATAGGACTGAGCGAGACGATTCCTGGAAAAACACGTGCAAAGATGTCCTGTCGACTCTGTGGTCCTCGGGCTTCGACAACGTTAGCGTGGAGTTGATCGACGAGAGAGCGAATATTGAAAAGATCACATCTCCCGTGATGCCTAAAGATCCTATTTATAGCAAGTGGGATGACATCTCTCGCAAAATTTGTGACCTCCTTGGTTTAGAGGGTTGGATGTCTCTTGAGTGTTTTCGGAGGGGTACAAGCTAAGATCCCCAAGAAAGCCATCCCACTGTTTTGTTGACCGTGCCTCGTGATACCACCAAGGAATGGAAGAGCAAACGCGATGAGATTTCTATGCTTCTGGATAATGAAGGACTCGGAGAGGTTGCTGTTGAAATTATCCGAAGCACGATCTGGCGAGCAACAGAAGTCGACTTGACTAGTGCCATCTTCCCTGACCATGCATGGGAGACAAGGGTGAAACTGGGCGCGAGCATCGGGGTCCATAATTCAGATTACGGTGGCTCTACTTTTGGCGGGTTCGTCGAGTTGCTGGACTCAGAAAAGAACAAATGGCACGTGTTTGGCCTCACATGCTATCATGCAGTTGAACCAGGAAACGTCCCACCTACCTCTAAGCTGGGAAAAGGTAAGCTCCAACTCTGTACTCTGTCTCTCTCTTTTTTGTTTTTTGTTTTTTCTTTTTGTGCTTTGAAGACGAATTTGCCCACCCCTTATCTGGTTTCAATATTGTGGTAAAATTCTTCTCACTAGGGAAATTCCTCGGTATTGTACCCATGGCTAATCAGTGCTTAGATATTGAGCGATGGAGAGGTATAGGAATGTTAGTGCTGGAGTCGAGCAAGGCGAATATCCGCATCGATCAGCCCTCCTTGAAAGACCACAATGCACGGATGAAGATGATCAAACAGAATATCGAGACAGTCAGGGAGCAATCTCTGTACAAGCAAGTCAAGAAGGCCAGGAATGACGGTGACTTCATTATCCCAAAGGAAGAACTGATATTTGAAAACATGGAGAAAGCCATCCTCAACGCTCTTTCTCTAAAACTTCGTGCGGAAAAGCATTTCAACACCGGATCCGCAACATTGGGGAGAGTTTATGCTGCGTCTGGGTTCCGGCTGACCTCTGGTAATGACAAACGCCAGCTAGATTGGGCGTTAATATCTGTGTATCAAAATCGTGTGGAGCCGAACAAAGTGAGTGTATATCTTTTTCTTTAACAAACGTACAGTCTCGCGAGCTTTTTCTGACATCGGTTAATAGTTCCCACCAGTCGGTTCATATATAGATGAACAAATGGGTACCACGTTCTCTGGTGAGGCTGTGGATGATCCAACTGGTAAGAAGCCTGTGCAAAATGACCGACTGTACAAGTTCGGTCGAAGAACGAATTTTACTATTGGCTGTTTTAGTGGCTTGAAAGCCTTAGAGCTTGAGTGTTGGAAAATTGGAAACATAATTGTCACCAATGAGTGCTCCGTTACCGGTCTGCCAGGATCAGCTGCCTTCTCGAAAAGAGGCGATTCTGGGTCTTTCATAAATAGTTGGTAGTGCGGGCATCTTTGTTGGGTTGTTGTTCGCTGGGAACGAGGGCACTCGCGCCACTTATTATACGCCTGCAAATATCTTATTTGAGGATATTAAGCAGACGACTGGAGCCAGAGCTGTGCGCCTGCAACGGAATCGTTGAACCTGGAAGACATTCAGAACCGCCTGGATAACGCTGGTGGGAGCTGAACGGACACGGGCTGCGGAGCCTGGAGCCACCGAGGAAAGAAAGGGGAGACCGGGTAGGCAGGAGGGAAAGGGCAAAAGGAAGCAGAGGTGTGTGCGAGAGAGGCACGGAGGCGGCCCCTTATATAGCCGTGAAGGGAAGACGTTGACGGGCAGTCCGGGGTGAGGGTGGACACCAGACAGCTCACATAGGGCGCGGCAGCCCAAAGCGAGTATATCGACGCAAATCGAAATTCTCCTTTGACATAAATATTCGGATATTCATCTTTTATACGATTTTAATCTACATTGATATGTCCCTTATTGAGGGTCCTTGGTATCAAAAAGTGATGCGTGGATGCCAAGGCCCTTAACATACAGCCACATTTCAACAACTGTGCATGATCTGATTCCGACTTGTTGTTGTTGTTGTTGTTGTTGTTGTTGTTCTTCTTATTTTTACTAAGGCCATAGTTATGCAGTCTGAGACTATGACAGCCTTCACCTCACTAGCCTACCCTTATGTTCGGCTACTCTCTAGTTACATTTCCCTATTCATAACTGAGCCATCCTTGATGGAGAGACTTCACTATACCATTGTGGATCTAGCCCTCAAGGGGGGCCTTGCCCCACAATTGCTCACGCAATACTAAGCAGTCCCTTGTCACTTGGACTACTCCGTAGACATGTAAGAATCACAACACCTTAGAATCCCACACTATACTGAATCCATCTAGACTATATACATAGTGTTGAACATTGCTCCACCCTATACTGTGTGCTTGAGGAAGTTCAAAATGTTTGTTAGGAAGAGTGAAGCGACTTCCATCATTCAAAATGCCAATTGTAGCTACCATAGCATCGTGTGCCCAGTTCATCTCATCCATTGTAAATCTGCTGGGCGCTGTTTGCTGCGCATCGGCGGTGCAATGGCAAGTCTATGCTCTATTACACAACAACAGACATTCGAATATTAATGGCAGCCTACGATGCAGCTTATTAGTCTTCTCTATGGGAAGGATTTCACATCTTCAAGCCCGATGTCCCTGCAGACCATGATGAGTAAGATAACAAGATTCTTATGAAGCATCATCAATGCTTCGGATCATTTCCGGAATCATACGAAGAGATTGCGGATCAGGATAGACTATATAGCCCTCCTGAGACTTTGAGACCCTTCCATCTCACAACTGCACAAGAGATTTGTCAGGAAGATAAGGAATTCGTGCTAAGAGCTATGAAGCTTGACCCAAGAGATAGGCCCACTGCACGACAGCTATTGGACGATAAATGGTTCCATCAGCCTTAACTTATTTAGTTCCCTTTGCGGGAGTTCAAACTAGGTTTATTTTATGTCTATATAAGAAGCACCCATGCTAACAATTTCTGTACTAATTATTAGACAGAGTGAAGCGAAGTCTCTAAGAATCATACGAAGCTCGGGGCCGGGCTCAAAAGTTGCTTCATTTTGTGACTGAAATGATTGGATGATAATGTGTTCAAAAATGTAGGTTGAATCTTGATGATTTCATTGGGTGTAGAGGGGATTTTGAGATCTCTGATTGATTAAAATGTTGAAAATTCCCACTTTTATATCTTCATTGGAGACTTGAGTTTAACACTACTAGTCCACAATCGGCTGCGATATACCTGCTCGATATCCGATCGTAATAGAATATCGAATGCTAGATAGCTAGCTAGCTACCTATCTACCTTCCTACCTTCCAACCAACCTGCCTACTTAATATCCAATCAATCTCTATGAGAATAAACATCATCGTCCAGCAACCCACTTACCTGTAAATGCTAACTTACTAACTGACTACCTGCCTGCCTACCTCCCTATTTATCTACTGACATGCTTGAATGAATGATATCTGCTAATGGTATATATCGATAATATCTGTGATGATATCTAGCAATGATATATCGATGATATCTACGATGATGATATCTATTGATGATGATATCAACATAATGAATAATATGACTATGCACTTTCGCTCTGTCCTTCTCAGCTGCATGTTTCATGAAGCTCCTGCTATAGAGTGTTGTGCCTGAGCTGTCCAACCCTTTGAAGCAATTAATGATGCCTTTCATGCCCTGGGACTTAAGAGGTTCGTTTGCCCACCTCCAGAAGAGGGTGATAGGGGCAGCCTGCCCCTAGTAATAATAGTCAGAGTAGTGTGAAGTATGTATATTAGTATTAATAAGATTTATATTCAAAGCTAATCACTGATCTCCTAGAATCTACGGATATCAATGAATATTATATACTCTTGTTACTCCGCTACACAGTCTCACTCATTCATCATATTCTATTAGCTTCTAATGCCCCTTTGCCACTATCTTGCCGCTTCTACATATAGATATTTCTGTAGATATAAAAATTCTCTTTATACAATCTTTTCTGATTTCTCTTTCGTTTTCCTTCTCTTCTTAATCAATTTGTAATCTGTAAGTAGAATAACTAGTGTTAAGGTCATTAATCAGTAGTATGCGCATTACACACAGAAATCAAAGTTGAATGGAATTCAAAAATGATGTACATAGGTTCTGAATCATGATCACTGAACAATTTTTCCATCCGAAATTTGAACCCCACTCGTGTTTTATATCAAAATGGATATACATAATCACGTGAATTATTTGCTTCGGTCATAGGTTATTCCGAATCCAGCTCTTCCGGCGCGTCAAATGGGAAAATATCTTCGGCTTTCCATTCAGGACTGACTTATCTCCGCCCAACAAGCGGCTCCTACAAGCCTCACCCACCAGCATTCGGGCAGACATATTGCCCACCATGGCGACCACTGCAGAGGCAAAGCTAATACGGCAGACCAAATTCCCACCGGAATTCTCCAAAAAGGTGGACATGCAAAAGGTCAATATTGAGGTGATGAAGAAGTGAGTTAGCTCGGTGAAGGTTGCCGTCACGATGAATGTTGTGTTTGTTGACAGTGTATTAACCCAATTTTATTGTAGGTGGATTGCTGGCAAAATATCTGGGATCCTAGGAAATGAGGATGATGTGGTTATCGAGCTTTGTTTCAATTTGCTGGAGGGTTCTCGCTTTGTACGTCTACACTGGTTTTCCTCTTGGTAACACAATCGAGCGCCCGTACATATACTAACAGCAAACCGATGTCTGTTGGTAGCCTGATATCAAACTTCTACAAATCCAACTCACCGGCTTTTTGGACAAGGATACGCCCAAGTTTTGTAAAGAGCTCTGGAATTTATGTCTCAGCGCGCAAAACAACCCACAAGGCGTACCGAAGGAATTATTGGAGGCTAAGAAACTAGAACTGAGACAAGAAAAAGTGGCTCACCTAAAACTTAAAGCTGAAGAACGTGTTCGCTATGCTAACTTTTGAGTAGCTCGAGTCTGAAAGATTAGCTGAAGAAGCCAGACGGCGCAGGGAAGAGGAGAGGATGCGTGAACGTGAGCTGGAAGCTCTACGGCAGCAAGAACGTGCTGAACGTGGTCGCCGTAGTGGCAGGGATCGATGGGCTGATAGAGATGCTCGCTCGCCGCCGTCAAGACGGAGAAGTTTGGACAGATACCGCGACCATGGCAGACGTAAAGCGGATACCTGGGCTCCATCTGGAGGCCGGAGTTCACGCTGGTCGGACGATCGTGGTCGCCGCACATCTAGGTCAATATCCCGATCGATATCGCGATCTACCTCAAGTTCATCGCTCTCTCCCTCTCCTCACCGAAGGGCGCGCGGACGTCACGGACCCACAAGGCGCCGACGGTCGCTAAGTTATTCTCGTTCACCAGACAGGAGGGATCGCAAACGAAGGAGAAGGCGTAGCCCCGATCGTGATGATGTTCTCACTAGGTCTACCTCCGTCAATAGACCAGATCGTTCACGTTCTCCCAGAGGACGTCGGAGAAAATCTCTCACCTCTTCCTCCCGGAGCTTATCCCGCACCGTTTCGCGTCACGTCTCCACTTCAAGGTCACCTCCTTCTCTGTCCTCGTTGCGTCATAGGTCGCGCTCACGATCACCGTTCCGAGCGAATGGTGACAAGCGTGGTGCAAGAGCTCGAGGGAGAAGATCACCATCACCCGCTGCGAAAGCTTATAGAACAAATTCAAGAGCTGATATAACCAAGGACCACCCCAAATCCCGCGATGATCGCCGTCGTCGAAGCCGCAGCAGAAGCCGCAGCAGAAGCCGCAGTCGCAATCACAACCGAAGTAGAGAACGACCCAGTTACCGCAGACGCAAGAATCCAAGCGGAAGCAGGTCTCGTACTCGCTCCCGTAGCCCTTTCCGCGACCGGGACAGGAATAGAAACCGTGACAGAAGCCGCTCTGGCAGTCGCGGTACGCCTCGGGATAGAAGTGACAGAAAAAGACATCAATCAATTGAGAGATACGCCCCAGCACCCAGAAGACGCTACAAAAGCCCTTCCACATGGTCTTCTTCAGCTCCAGAGAAACGACAGACGATCGTAGCTGATTCACAAGAAGAAGAAAAGGAAAAGAAAAGTTCGCACTCACCGCCTCCTGCCTCGCGTAGCAGCAAAAGTTCGGAAGCGGAACCAAGACGGGAATCTCAGCCGGAACGCAAGGGTCTTCAAGACAGAGTTGAAGAGGAAGACAAGGAAAAGGAAGATGGACAAGCTGCAGGCGTTGAAGTGGTGCGTAGCTGAAACCTTTCTTTTTCGGGCTTCAAAATAGCGCAGAAGCCGATAATGAATAAAATTTTGTGTGTTTAAGAATCTTTCTTTATATTCTCCGCGCATAGTTATACCTATTGAGAAAATATTAACACAATTTACTAACTTGCTCGTTCTCATCCGTTTTTGTACAAGTTTAGAAGTCAACCCAGCCCTCCAAATCCCGATTGACCGGTACTGAACTCCGTGAAAGACTTGCACGAGAGAAGGTCAAGGCACTTCGCAGAGAAAGTTTAGAGGGGAAAAAGAATTGACTTCCTAACCAGGGATAAGTAATCTGGTACAGGATATGGGGAAAAGAAAGGTGATTTTTTTAAAACCCCATGCTTTTTCTTTCCACAAACCTGCTGTTGTGACGGCCTTTACCGTAGTCGAATTGCTCTGCTCGCTATGCTCACACCCCGACCTAAAGATGGATTTTATCCTGATCTTTCTTGTTGCAATTCAGAATTCTGTACATGAATTTGGTGCATTTCATTTTCCCGACCCCGCAGAGGATGTTTTTAATGAACTTGGTTTGCTAGCATTTTTCTTTTACTCAATCCCGTATTCATGTGAACTTCCCACTCGTCAACATTCAGCATCCACACTTGTTTTATACACGATGGATGTAACATGAGATTTTGACGGAAATGTTTTATACTATTAATGGCCTATGTATTCCCCTTTCAATCTGGACGCGCTATTAGCGGTAATTAAGGCCCCGATTTTAGAAGCAATAATGACAGGAATTTGTATTTGAGATTCCAGATTGTTTGTAGCCTGTGTCGCTCATCGAGCGGCAGAAATGACATCAAATTCTTCTACCCATTACGGTGCATCGGGCAACGCAAGATCCGGAAGGTAACAATAAAGATACCAACAACGCAATTCATCTAGAAACTACTTATTCAATTGGGTTGTTTAAAATATCATATTCCGTTTACCACCCAGCTCTATTACTAGGGCTAAAAATATGGTTGTCATGGAAACAATGTTGATACATCACGTGACAATTTCCTTTCCAGCCCAACTCATTCGCTCCTCACCGATGACCTTTTTTATCTCCATGAAAATACTCGACAACGGCGATTATCTTTTATAGATTATATATCTGGAATTGATGCGTCCAGATACGCGTCAGATATTGATATGGCAACGACAACGGCAACGTCAACGACACCCTCAATTCCGTTGACATACAATAACTTCAATCGCCCGGGGTCATCATTATCATCTCGGCAACAACTTCCCCCAACAACGATTTCTCGATCGATGTCCACCCGTGTATCACCCAATTCAGGCGCATCCAGTTTCCACAGTTCCTTTTTCCCAATGTCAAGAACACGCTCCTTTTCCATTGGAGACAGCTCTGATGATGATTTCCCGGAGCCCATCAAATTTAGCGCATCTGTCAAGGCGTTATTAGGGGAGGAGGATGGGTCAAATATTGATATCTCCCCGCGCAGTGGAAGCAATGTGGATCAAATCCAAAAAGCCGCAATGAGTATGGATGGTGATCTACGCTCGTTGCATTCACTGCAGGAGAAGCAGGTGCGCATTGCGTCGCCAAGAGAACAGGCCACGGGGAGCCCGTCTCCTAGAATTGTGAGAGTCAATTCTCCTCGCGTTTCCCCAAGAACATTAGGCAGAGAGAGCCCCCGGTTGGAAAGCAAGGATGAAAAGATAAATGGGTCTGATCTGCATTATCCTTGTGGCGGGGATTTTATTACACCCGCTGCCCCAAGGACCAGAGTGGTGCGTGTTACGGCTTCCAGGAGCAATTCTCACTCTCCACCAACGGTGTCTCCCAGTAGAACTAGGTCGAGTGAGAGGTCTTCCAAGCAGGGGGGAAGTCGTCTAGGGGACCGTTCTTTTTCCGGTGACGAGCGTCGTCGCGACGAGAACGTTTACCGATCTGGTTCCTCAGTTAGTGTGCGGCGAACGCGGCCTAGTGAGGATACGGGGATGCAAAGTTCGTTACGGGTAAAGAGAGTTGGTAAATTAACAGGCTCGTTTCTCAACGGACCAGCGCGTCGTGGTGTTATTCGGAGACAAAGTGAAGATGTGGAAGAGGAGCCGGCAAATGAATGGCCAAATTCAAACGGCAGCCCTCATACCAGCAAAGAAGAACCTCACCAACAGGAATCGGAATCCGCACCCCTCCGTGATCGCGACCAAGCTCTTGTTGAAAAGCCTCAATCGTATCCCAGGCCTGCGCAAAGTCGCACTGGATCGCCTGTCCCAATACAGGTGTCGAAGATACTCCCAGAGCCGGAAAAGCTGGTCGATAATGCCTTCTTGAGATCCAATTCACCCCAGGCTCCTAGTTCAATGTCGAAATCTCCATTATCAACAGAGCAAAAGGATTCTTCACGATCTACCAGAGAAGCGCCTGCGTTTTATCATGTACCCCCTTTCCTCTCGCGAGCAACGAGTGACGGCCAAGAAAATGATCCACCACCAACGTTTAAAAAGACAAAGTCTCAGGGCCTTAGTCTTTTAGATAAGGCTGAAAAGTTCTCAGTGATTTATGACGATGACAAGGAACTAGCCAAGCCCACGCACCCAACCATGTCACCTCGCAGACCCCTAGCTCCCAAGGATAACAACACTCCTCATAGACCAGCTCCACCGCCCCCAAAAATGAGCGTTCTGGAAACAGCGACCGCACCCGCAGGAGCTACTTCGTCCCAAGCTCGGAGGAAACGCGTCCAGGTTACCATTAATCGCAAGCCCTTTACAAGATTAGACTGCATTGGGCGAGGGGGAAGTTCTAGAGTCTACCGTGTCATGGCCGAAAATTGTAAAATATTCGCACTTAAAAGAGTCAATTTGGAGGACGTTGACCCAATTGCCCTTGCTGGGTATAAGGGAGAGATCGATTTACTCAAAAAGCTCGAGAACGTGGATCGCGTAGTGCGATTGTTTGATTACGAAGTCAACGAGGAGAAGCATGCACTCAGTGTTCTCATGGAGTTTGGCGAGTCGGATCTACAAAGGATTCTCACGCTACGACTAAATACAGAGGACGCTGTGTTTGATTCTGCCTTCACGCGATATTACTGGAAGGAAATGCTCGAGTGTGTTCAAGCTGTTCACGAATTCGACGTCGTCCATTCAGATCTCAAACCTGCCAATTTCGTCCTAGTTAAGGGAAACCTGAAATTAATTGATTTTGGCATCGCAAACAAGATCCAGGATGACACTGTAAATGTTCACCGCGAGCAGCAAATCGGCACTCCAAATTACATGGCACCCGAAGCTCTTATCGACATCAATGCCGCAAGCGGCCTTCCCTCGACTGTCGGAAAGATGATGAAAGTCGGCAAACCAAGTGACGTCTGGAGTTTAGGCTGTATCCTCTATAAAATGGTCTATGGCGAACCACCCTTTGCGCACATCACCAAACCTTTTGAGCGCATTATGGCCATTCCCAATCCGAAGGTGATCATTGAATTCCCAGCATTCGGCGTTGGTGGTGCATCCGTACCACCAGGCCTCATACGGACTCTGAAGCGTTGCCTTCAGCGCGATCCGCGTCTGCGGCCCACAGTGCAGGAGTTGCTTGGTCAGCGAGATCCGTTTCTATATCCAGAAGCAAACTTGGAAGGTTCGGTGCCCATGACGCAAGAGATGTTGGGGAGGATATTGACGAATGTCGTCAATCATTGTAAGGCAAGGGGACCTCCGAAGGAGGAGGACCTGGCCGGGTGGCCCGCCGGATTTTTTGCGAAGATTCGATCAGCGCTCGAGGAAGATGCGCTTTGATCAGACCAGTCCTTATCATTCGCTATTTGCAATTTCCATTTCGGTTTTCTAATTTGTTGTTTTCCTGTTTTGTATTTTTTGGATGGGTATCTTGGCAGTTCTCATTGCCCTGGCGAGTTTAATTTTTGTCCTGGTGCTGCGGAGTACTTTCGTATTTTTGACCTCTGGTCCAAGGGCTATTGGACCCATCTTGGCTATATTCTCCTTTTCCCCCTCTCGCCTTGGGCATACTTTGATTGTTCAATTCATTTGCTGCGTTCCAGCGTCGTCTTTTCTACTAGAGGAAGATCCCTCGTGTTTCCGAGTCAATTTCCGCTTTTCTATTCTCATTCTTGGAACTTGTTTGGCAACCCTTCATGGATTCGATTACTTATTACATTACCTTGGACACTTTACAACTTTCGATACCTAGCTTTTCTTCATTATATACTAATGTGGATATGACATATTTATTCTTCATCATTCTGGCATTGTTGAATCTTCTCTCCATTTTGGCTTTCTTATCACAGAACAGCCTAACCAGATGGCTCAATGCGGTCGTGCTTAAATACTTTATTTTGCGAATAAAATATCTATAATACAAATTTGCAATTCGAACGAACAAGAAAACATGATGTGCAAATGGAGAATAAAGGTACAGAACAAAATTTTACATCATAATAGAAAAGAAGGAATAGAATGCTCCTAATCAGACAAACCGGAAATTACGCAGCATCGAAACCATTCCAGCGTACATAACATACACTGAGTAAGTCAACGGGAAATAGGTATCTTCAATCCTGCTCAAAAGAATGAACCCAGATGCAAGAAAATCACTCCTTCTCTGCCCCTTTCAGTCCTGCCATACCCTCCATGTCTTCACCCACAATCTCCGCCCCCTCGTTAACCAATTCATCCAACCCCTTAACCTTAACATCCACGACCCTCAAGATCGTATACCTATGTTTACTCTTCACCCGCCTCACATGTCTCTGTCTCTGCTTGGTCTTCTCCTTGATGCGGAGTGGCTCCGACTCTGTCCCAATAACCCTCACCCGGCACTCGAAGAGCCGCTCGTCAACGTATGGCGCCCCCTTGAGTGTAAAGTCGCGCGAGCCGATTACTGATGCCCGGTTGAAACGGAGGATGTCGCCCGCCTTTACATTGGGCATGAGGAAGGGAAGACGAAGTGTGTCGCCCGCTGTTAGGAGATAGGGGCGCGCGTGCAGGTGGGCGGTAATGTAGTGAGGTGTTTGTGTGGTAAGATGCGGGAGGAGAGAAGTTAGAGACGGTGTAAGGGTCAGGGGTTTTGTAAAGGTGGGAGAGATGAAGAGTTTATTTGGTGGGATAGTTGTCGTCGTCGAGGGGGATGTTGATGTGGATTGGGGTGGAGAACTTTGTAACGTGGGCAATTCCGATTGCGATGGCACATCTGTTGTAATTTGTTCGCCGGATTGTGGAGGAATTTCGGCCGGTGTTGCGTGGAACGGGATTGTTGAGGTTTGATGTATGTATACTGCTCGAGTCAATGGCATAATGGGAATCCACCGAATGTCCAGCGCGGTGCGGATGGAGGATCTGGCAAACATGGTTACTGGCAGTACTATGAAATTGCCACCCAGTAACAAGGCAAGTATAGGGTTCTGGTCCCGGCTCTGGTCCTCCGTCAATTGTTACGGAGCGTCCTCCTTCAAGATACTCGATATATTTCTTGCCGCTTTTTAGAAGTTGAAGAAAATCAACTCAGGATGGCGTAAATGGCCGCTGGGGCTACCGTATCAATCACGTGCGCTAGTCGCTTATATAATTATCAGTAATCGATAAATTCCAACCTCAACTTTTTTTCAGTAATGTAGAGCTCCTCTGTCGAAGTCTCCTGGATTGTAAAGGCCGGCTCTTTCTGCCTTCATAATGCCTCAGAACGAGTTCGTTTGCTCAAGTCCCTCTCTTTTTTTTCTAAATTCGTGACCAGTCCTGCTAACACAATCTTTTAGGTATATCGAGCGATGGCAGAAACAATACGGGGAGCGGTTTGTAAACCCCCAATGAAACCTCTGAAGGCAACCTTGCAGATATTATGCAACAAGCTGACCTATTCCCCCTTCACAAAACAGCCTCGACCATGAGGAACGCACCCGCAAGCGCATAGCTCGTGAAGCGCACAAACAATCTCACGATGCGCAATCCTTCCGCGGCCTACGGGCCAAGCTGTACCAAAAGAAGCGCCATGCTGAGAAGATCGAGATGAAGAAACGGATAAGGGCGCAAGAAGAGAAAAATGTCAAGTCGTCTGCACCTAACGAACCTTCCTCCACTCCACTACCAAACTACCTTCTCGACAGGTCCCAGGAGACTAATGCGAAATCGCTTTCAAGCGCCATTAAGAATAAGCGTGCTGAGAAGGCGGCCCAGTTCTCAGTCCCTCTACCAAAAGTTAAGGGAATAAGCGAAGAGGAGATGTTCAAGGTCGTCAAGACGGGAAAGAAGACAGCGAAAAAGTCGTGGAAACGTATGATTACCAAGCCTACCTTTGTTGGCGCCGACTTCACCCGGAGACCAGTCAAGTACGAACGTTTCATTCGACCCATGGGTCTGCGTTATAAGAAAGCGAACGTCACGCATCCGAAATTGGGCGTTACTGTACAGCTACCGATTATCAGTGTCAAGAAGAACCCTCAGAGCCCTATGTATACGCAACTGGGAGTGTTGACCAAGGGAACTATTATCGAAGTCAACGTGAGCGAACTGGGACAAGTCACGGCGAGCGGAAAGGTCCTATGGGGCAAGTTCGCACAAATAACAAATAATTGTGAAAACGATGGATGTGTTAATGCGTGAGTTTCCAACATTTTCCCTCCTTCGCGCCTCCATTACCGGAGGCTACTCTCCATTTTATGTTATGTATCCCTCAGATCGATTGAAGCTCGCTAACCAATTCTCTACAGAGTGCTTCTGGTGTAATCCTATTCTTTATCTTCCAACCTCTGATGACACCTTTTCGCTCCCATAACTCTCCTTCATTTCCACGACTTTAAGGAATGGCCTGTAACCGCCAGCTTCGGGACTTTCAACGAAGAAAAACTTTCTTCCCTCCTATCCAGAAAACATGATAGAAGGAATCAAACTCATTGAGTTAAATACCGTCAATTAACTCGCCTAACTTTTTCTTTTCTTTTCTTTTTCTTTCAATGGCGTTTTGGCGAAATAGAGTTGGAAACAAAACGTTGCAAGATTTCCTCTGATGGTTTTTCCTGTGATTTTCAATTTCGCATTTCCTTCAAGGATTTTTTAGAACCCCCCTCTTTTCGTGTGAGGGAACCCAATTTCCTTTTCTCCTATCTCTCCCCCAAAGTGAGATGGAGGACAGAACCTCGTTATTTTTATGACAGAAGTTTCTTTGACTTACATAAATCTACTCTGTCCTTTCAGCCACTTACTACACCGCTAACCTTCTCCATGTCGTATTTCATGAAACGAGAAAAAGGGAAATGAAAAAGTGAAAATAATCTTATATCTATATGCAACTATGAAAATGCCACACAGCAAATATGTGCTTACGGGTGGTACTATATAAATGGCCAAGGGAAAAACTTAAAAAAAAAAAAAAAAAAAAAAAAAAAAAAAAAAAAGAAGTAAAGAGAGAAGAGGGAAAACAAAACAAATCAGCACATAGCGAGGCAGGTATCTTAATATAAATCACCCTTTTTTTCTCCTTGACCACAAATCCACAGATTGTCAACAGGCGGCCCTCGAACCTCATCTTCGACCCTCCATTGTTTCTCCGTCTTCTCCCCCTCCCCTTCCGTTGACGTCGCCGGTGACACGAGCCCAGGCACAGCAGGCGGTAACGAGCTAGATCTAGGATCAATAACACCAACATTGACACTGGCGTTGACGTTACGACTCCGCTGGCCCAGGCTCCTGTCCTGATTGGTACTCCGGTTCAAATTCCGGCTTGCTGACTTGAGGGCTCGTTGCAGTTTCGAGCTGTCCACAGGAGCCTCTGTATTTATTATAGATGCGTTATCAACGAGTGAGGTCCTGCAATGGCGTTGCAGACCCTGGGTGTGACCGCGCTGATGCCGGCGGAGGGGATTACGGCTCTTGGCTCCCAGGGGACTATGAGCCGGATTCAGCAGATGCGGATAGGCATATTCCCCCATTTCCATTTCCTCCACTGTCTCGACATCCTCCATTTTCACCTCCAGTTCCGGGTCGACATCCAACCCTTTATTGTTTTCGACGATGTTAATAATCTCACCAACAGCACTAGGGATGGTCCTGACTCTATGGAGTCCCTTCCCGCTCTGATTCCTACCGCCATCCCCATAACCATCCGCGACAACCTCTCCCAGACCCTTCTTCGGCGGCACATTCCCCAGCAAACCCACTCCCGAATCCAGCCCTTCAATCACCCCAGCCAAAAACTCTGCATCCTTGCAGCTAACGCTTAGCGTCCATCGATACTCGTCCAGCCGCATTCGATAGAATTCGTCCTCCTCGCTCGTCAGTGCCGTAGCCCTCAACAAAATCCCAAACGAGCCGATCAACGCAAAGTTTGTCCGAGACGATGAGGGCCAGAATGATCGTAAATGCGCGGGACGCAGTCGATTGACAAAGTCCATGGCGGAAATTAGCCGCGATTTCGCTGCTGAACGGCAGATGTGGGATAAGTATGGGTCTGCGGAGTCCGGGCCTAGGGAGCGGATTATGCTTCTGTGCAGAGTTATCTCAGTCGCGAAGTAGGCGAGGTGGAGGCCCCCGTTGAAGTCTGTATGGCAAGGGCTATTTGTATTTGGAATGGCTTCTACGTTCTTGGAGTCGATGTTTGTGTTGCCGCCGTCTCTACTATTGTCATCATTCCAAGGGTATTGGTCATGATGATCTATTCTCAATTCATCCGGTAGACACGCAAACCACCGCTTTAAGCGTATTTGGATAGGTTTTGCCCGTTCGAGGATTATTCTGGTACGTTGAGGCCCCGCTGTGGCGAATTCGGAGATGGCTTGGAGGGTGTAGAAAGTATCAAGGATCTCAGAGAGGATGACGGTTAGGGTCACGAAATGGTGGAAGAAGCGGGCGCCATGTCCTACTGATGAAGGAATATCCTGAAGACCCACGTTTTTCTGGCTATTACCGACACCGTTGCGTTTCCGTGAATAGTTGATGCCTGCGAAATCTTCCATCACTAATTCCTTGACGGTCCAGTTTGCTGCGAAGATATGCGATGGGCGGCCGTGGACTAGCGCGCACCATTTGTCCTGCACGTAGAGGGCCCAAGACAGCCGTTTGCGCAAGCCTTTTTCCCACGAGGGTATGTTCCAGCTATTGCAGTTTTGGTGCAGACCCAGATCGTAGCCGGCAGTTACGAGGTGGGCGATTAGCGCGGGGGTGTTTAAGGTTGGTTTCTGAGAGAGGAGCAGGCCCGCCTGGATGGTGGAGATATGCGGTTGTGCGAGGGATTCGTTAAGTAACCGTGTAGCCATCCTTTCTAGACGAGCGGCATCGGGTCTTCGTGGTGTCTGGACTCCAGACTCAGATCCTGGGGGGGAAGTCGCACCCGCTACCTCTAGATCCAGCCATTCCAACGCAACTAAGTACACCGCTGCCAATAGAGGAGGGGACAAATTCCTTCTAGTCTGGTACGAATGGCGGAAGGCATCTTCGATTAACACAGAAAAGGCCGGGTGTGCATGTTGGAAGAAACTATCGATAAGAATGGGCCCAAAGGGGCTGACAGCACTCTCTATGGTTTCAATGGAGATGGAATAAAGCTTGTGGCGGGCTTGGAAGCCGTCAACCACGCGCATGAAGGTCCCGTCATCAGCGACTTTATGCACACGGGACGTGGCCAGGGGCCTTTCATTATTGTGGTCGAGAGTTAGAAAGTTTAGCAGAAGCGGCTCCAGCTCTGTTGTCATGCCGATGTGTTGGCTGGTCACAAAAGATGCCTCAAGGGCGGGCTCATCCTCCTCAACATTAGAATCATATCCCACACCAACCTCGTCCTGAAACTTTCTCTTGCCCAACTGACTCTGAACTTGAGCCGGTACCCACGTTTGCGCGTGCTCTGGCTCCATGGTGATATTAGACATGACATCCTGCAGATGAAAATCGCATGGCTAGTTCATAGAACATTCACTCTTGAGCCTAAAACAAGCGTCAGTGCAGCAGAGGCAGCAGAAATGACATATGACGTCAGGAGTGTTGATTTATTGCTATTGGTATTATAATTGTAGGAGCTGCTCGACGTAGCAGCAGCGGCGGTGGATTAGTCGGAGCTGAAACAGAAGCAGAACTGGGCGGAGTTGTGGGCGGAATGTTGGAAATGGTTTTATAGCGATGGTCGCAGCCATTCTGTTCTCTCCCGATACTAAGCACAATGAGCGCGAGAGGGAAGTCGATTCGTACATAAACCGGGTTAATCGGTCGATTCCTCCACTTTTCATATTTGTTTCCTTTCTGATAGTTGGCTGGAAGTCTTCCCTGGGCTCTTGTAGCTCGAACTCAGCCTGATGGCGGCTACTTACAATCAGAATGATGAGACATGTTTGCGGCCATATAGCTAGCTTGGGGGAGCTCAAAACAGCAATCAGACAATTAATTTTAAGATCTTGCTGTAGGACGATGGACGCTTCTGGAATCGCTTTTGGTTGGTGAGTTGTACGGAGGATAGTATCAATCGTAGGATAATTTAGTTTTGTATCAGATTATTGCTCGCTAGAGCTCCAATCTTTATCGGCTATTCTGTACCTGTGGGCCAGCTAGATTAGATAGAGGATTGATTAATGCTACCTTGCTTCTGAAACCATCAGCGTGTTTGGTCTTGGATTTGGTGGAGCTCTACAACATCCGACCCCCCAAGGTTGAGAATGTAACAGAACAAGGTTTGCAGAGGCATGGAGAAGCTGAGAACCTCGCAAATAGTTCGAACTCAACACCCATCCCATCGGGCGGTGAAAGATGGTATGCTCTCTGTATTATTTTTTTCATGGTGAGGCAGCTAATCTCTGTTTCCTGTTGCTGTTCAACTGAGAACCCATGTGTTTTGTTTCACGTCTCCCTACATTTTCCGGGCCTGAGACTTTTGCGGATATTTCAAATTGATATTGGCATGGCAGCCCTGGAGTGCAAGGTAGTTTTCAAAACGTAACAGATATTCAAGATCCGAGAAAATGTTAAATGTTTGTATTTTCAGTTTGATTTTTTCTTTTCTTTTATTTTATCGCGCCTGACCAAGCTCAGTTATCCCCTTGGTCCAAATTCCCTGGACACCGAACATGCTCTGTACTTCGACTCACGAACGAAGGATCCTCCTATTCGTGTACCCAGGGATAGATTTATGCGGAAGAATCTTCATAAGCAGATTACTCCGTACATCCCACCTCGATTTTCCGAAAACTCCTCTCGTATCTCCCTCCCCTTCTCTCCCATGGCTCTCATATACAAAATCCCCTGCCCCACCAAAGAGATAAGCTTCCCCCTGCTAATTGGTTGCGGAAAGCACCAGCAGGTAACTCCCTGTGTCTATTCCTGACTACTACGGAGTACAGTCTGCTAGTCTGCTTCGGGGTGTCTTATTACGTAGGATTCGGGAACGCCTTGCATGCTGGGTAGTGGCTGAGGGCTGCGGCTGGAATGCATTTTACGAGGAATGGAAGAATGAATCGGGGAAAAGGGGTGGGCTTCATCTTCTTTGAATATGTGGAACAGGCCCGACTGTAGAAGATGACTGTGCATCTGAGAGCGTGCCTGGGCAATTTAGCAGATGAGTTACCATGTGGAGATATTACAGATGCCTCATGCTTTGAAATATCGTCCTGCAAAACGTAAAAACTCAACTAGCAGGACTAGCTTCAGACGCTTGACAATAAATATACATAACATGGTATTTAGGATATATACAAAGTGAAAGATCAATTATGGCTGACTCTAAGAATATGTATATATATATATATATATATATGTGTGTGTGTGTGTGTGTGTGTGTGTGTCATCAGGAAAGTAGAATTCCAGAGATTTAATATATACTAAGGCGAGAATATGTATAAGTATATACGTATATATAATGTACGACATAAAAATTTGGGCACAAGAACTGAAAGAAAAATGGACATGGATAAAAAGGGAGAAGAAAAGAGAACAAAGGAAGCAAGGGCAGATGATAAAAGCGGACAATAATAATAATAATAAATCAAAAAGGGGGAAGGATGGGAGTGGTGATGATAAGTGTCTTTTCTAGATGTATCTCCCATCTTCCCCTTTTCCAACGATCTTCCGCTTTTCTCACTCTATCCAAAACAAAAAGGAAAAACAGAAAAAGTTTGAAATCTCACTCCTTAAACATTACCCTTGTCCTTGCACCCCGGGGTAATATTCTTCAACACCTTCCAGTCGCCAAGCGCCGGGAAGTGATTCCGCTCCTTGTCATCCGCCGCCAACGGTGTCACATCACGCTCAGCAATCGTAATCTCCAGCCCCTTGGAGTGGCCCGTGGAATCACCAACAAGCTCTCCGGCATCCACGACCTTTCCAGTCAAATCCAGCACGCGCCACTCAAGATGCTTCTCCAGCAACGGCAGAATCGACGTGTCCGTCAGATCAAGAATCATCCCGCTGTTCAACACTACTGCCAGAACGTGCGACAGGGGAATCTGCCCGTACATCTCACGCGTTGTGTTGGCTGGGGAGCCCATGGAAGAGGCGAAGGACGCGAAGGTACCGATCAGGTTAGAGGCGTATGGCCAGTCGCAGGGCTCTTCCGGTGGCTCGGAGAGGAAGAAGTGGATATTGTAAGCGTGGGGCAGTGCGAACTTGTTCGCCCTGATGTTGATTACCCACTGCTTCGACAAGTTGTTGATGCCCAGTTTGATGAAGTTGAGCAAACTGAATTTGCCCAGGTCATCGAAGAGTTCCTTGATCTTGAAGTTGAGTTTTTTGAGGTCGTCCAGCGTGTCCTCGGCAAGGTTAGGCATGCGCTTGTGCTTGATCATGGCGTGGTGGTGGGCAGAGCGGGCGGTGAGAGCGGTGCTGCGTTTGTTGTTGTTGTCGCTTGCTCTATTGTAAAGCTGGTTGACTTGAATGCGTACATTCATGGCCAGTTGCTGTGGGCTAACGTCCCAGTCCTTGATCTCAGGATACGTGTAGCCGAAGTATTTCAAGTTGCGAGACGTTTCGGCATTGTAGAATTTATTGCTGGGGTCGCGGAATGGTGCCAAGGCTGAAAAGGAGGGTCAGTTTGATTTCTTTGATTAGACTCGGAATTCCGGAAAATATGAGTTGCACGTACCAGTCTTGTCATTTTCCCAGGTGCCTGGCCTCTCCATGAAATTTCCGCCACGGTTTTGCAGAGGCTGTACGTATGATTCAGGGTGCACAGCTTGCCACAAAGCGACGATGCGGTCGACGTTACTTCATCATCAATCAGTACATTGCTTACACGAGGAGATGGTGTACTTTTTTTACTAACGTATGGTGGAGCCAGAAGACTGGGTCATAGGCGGACCAGGGGGTGTAAGTCATATGCCCAGCATTGCCTCCAACCGAAACATGAATGAGACCGTGAATGTTCTCCAAGTTGTTGTAACTCGCACCACGGTCTGGGAGCGAATCAGTTGAGAATACGGTGTAGTTGGCTTCGCCGGCAATGAGTTGATATGTGTTGACTCGAATACTGAATATTGCTTGTTAGGTGGCACTGCTCAAATCACTCTATCAGTGATATTGTGACTTACAGGGCACCATTGGCATTCAAAGTCTTCTGGATCGCATCGATCTGGGATACACCCTGCTTGTCGGGGTTGCGGACGGTTCTGCGATATTTGAAAAGCTGAAAAGTAGAGAATTAGTGGAAGCCATACATATATGGATTCCAAGTCTCGACGAGGAAAATACTGACAGGATCATTGGGGAAGCCCTCTTGAGCCGATGGCCTGATAGCGAAGTCGTAAAGGGGGTTCGGATAGCTTTTTAATCCGTTCGGGGTATTGATGTTAAGCTGTGGGGTAATGACTGACTTGGGAAGCTCGGGATCATTGGCCCAGTCCCAGTATGGAAGTCTCAAATCAGTTGCAGCTTTTTGATAGACTGCCCGGAGCATTTGGGGGTATGTATTGGCTATCGCTTGGGCATGGCGCGAAATTCGCTCCTGTTATCGGGAACAGTTGTTAGAATTCTGATGCATCTATGGGAGATAAACCAAGTCGAAATTCACTGACTTCATAGATGGCAAGGTACGGACGATGCCACATTGGAAACAAAGTCGAACCGTGAGAGCAATAACCAGCACCTCCCAAACCATTAACGCCATCCCAGGAGACGTAAGGATAACCATGAATACCTGTATTTCAAAACCGAGTTAATTACAGCTGTAACTAGTACATGAATTTCTGAAGATGACTCTTACCAGCAATTTGAAAAAAGCTCAACAGGTCATCCCGGTCCTCCTCCTGGAAAGCCTTGAGGGCCTGGATGTAGAGATCCCATTCGGGGCCAGACCATTGCAGATTGTTGATGTCCTTACGAGCTGGTCGTTCGCCAGTCTGGCGATTGACGCCATCCTTCACACCTGAAATAGTCACAGCTGAAGCAACGCCCAACAGCACGTTCAGCAGCAGGAGCACTTTCCATCGAAAGGCCCCCATGATTTTTCCTCCGAAATAATATCAAAAAGTTTTATTTCCCCTTTCAAATTATGGTAAATGAGGGACCTAAGTCCTGGTAAAGACTGGATAGAAGGAGGAAAACGTGAAGGAATGGCTTGCAGTCCGTTCAAGAAACCATCGAGTCTGAACGCCGCGCTTTGGTTCTGGAACCTGATGGGTCAGTTTCTTCTTCTGCTGTTTCTTTGTTTTAACCTCCTCTTCAGCGCGTAAAGTCTTAAGGGATTGGGAGGCTCCGCAAACAAGGTGTGACGAAAATGAGCGAAACGGATGGAGTGAACGAAAGTAATCCTCGCGAAGAGGAAGAGGAAGAAGAGGAGGGGGTGAGAAGGAGGAGAAGGGAGCGAAGACGAAGGGTGCTGGCAGGGTAGAAGTGGAAGCAAGGAAGAACTGGTTAGATTCAAATGAATCCGGCAAATACGGGGGAGTCTGCTGTGTGAGCAGCACTTTTAGGACTGTTCACTGGGCTCTTTGGCCTCTGGGCGGTGGTGAAGTATGGGAGCGTTGGCCATTCGAACAAGGCTAACTGCCGCTAGGGCTAGTTAGTCAGGGGACAAGCCTCCACTTGGGCGGCCATCGCCGCCCCTTGCTGGGGTCCTTGGCTCCTCGCCGTCTGGATAGCAGCCATCTAAAAGCAATGCCATGAGAGCTGCAGGCCTGATTGGACTATTGCTTCCATCCATGCACTAGGTTGTCGATCAATTGCTGGGATTCCTACCATGACTGACCGAGTGTTCCATCCAGCCCCTGATACTCCTCCATACTGACTTGGCTTGGTGGTTCCGAGCATATTCTTGTTCATCCACGAGTCCCACGACCACTTGGGCGCAGCTTTCCGGGATAGCCAATCGACCATTACATACTGCGTACATCTATCTCCACGTCAGCCAAGCTGGACAACCAATCACTCTTCTTTATAAGTGAGCGAGCTGATTGTCACATGACCCACATTCTCAAACAAGCATTGTGATAGACATCTGGACGGAGTATTTCGTGATTATCACTAAGGATGCTGATCTGAAAGGCGTGCCCAGAAACTACCATCCGATTTCCTCCTCATCGGTTGGGCAGAATCTTTTCCGAGAAAAGAGGCTGAAGCTTGTTTTTCGTGGAGATACTCTCCACATGGAGCATGTCTGTGACAGAAAACCTATGGCGCTTCTCATTATTGAAAACCATTTTATGCACGAATATGCCAGGTAAACGGATGTACCGTACGGACGTTTCCAAACAGAAATATCGCTCATTCCCCATAATCAACCTAGACCAGTCCTAAAGTAATGCAATCCGTACGCAGTAGTGATCCTGCGCTGACGACGGTGTCCCCGCAGCTGAGATCTCAATGCAGAAGGCTCAGGTAGTGCAACCTCTTGCCATTCCAGTACCCTATAGATTGCAACGATGGCTTTGCAATTAAATGTAGACAGCATCACCACTTCTTCCTATCCATCAACACCGCATCGAATCGATATATAGTGCCTAAGAAAACAACGTTGGATAATGTGATGCTTGCGACAACGTGCGAGAGTAAACACCGAGAATCGCGGAGCCATTCATCACGAGCCTCCGCTTTCCTGTCCTCATCCTTCCCTTCTCTGCCATCTAGGATTGCGATCTTCAGTCTGACAGTGGCGGTGCAACAGGATGGAGACTCTGGATTTATTGATTGGCCGCTGTCCAGGCAAACAGGATCTTGGAAATAACTGCTCTTGGGCCCCGAAAAGAGAGCAGCTTGCTGGGAGTGCCGATGTACAAATTCTTTTTTTATCAATGCGACTTTCCCCTGGTAGATGATGTAGTTGTTTTTTATGATTATTCGTTTTCAAGTACGGAGTACTGTGGCGTGGTGGGAGCTTCACAGAGTAAAGTGCTTCTTTGCGTACTAGTGAGGTTAGCGAGCCGCTTGCAGGCCTTACGGTCCAGGGCGACTACTAGCATCCAGCCCTTGTGAACGTCCAAATTCCAGGTAAAGAAATGTGAACATGGTGACAAATATTATCAACAGCACACAGTTGGTCTAACAGCAAGGTCTGCTATTATTAAAACGTCTGGGTATTGCTGCACATGGGCTAAATGCAGAAAGAATGTGCAGATACATACCGGTTGACACTCACTGACTCGGATCCAGGCAGGATCCATGAAAGTGCCAGTTCCTGCAGTACTATGTACACAGCTCTCTACAGTTCTGGCAATACGCAACACCATGTCGAGTCATCCTGTTGATGGTTTCATCTACAGTGTTTCTCAGATCTTATAACCAGAAAGTATACTCCGTACGCGGTGGTGGGCATCAAAGCGGAGGGCGCTCGAAATGTTTCAAACCTTCGCTGCTGGAGAACACACGGGGTTTTACCGTTCAATTTTCAAGGATACGGGTGGCCAATTGTGAACTACTGCGTACACTGTGACAAAATTATCTTGGTAGTTACATAGCCCTAACCTGCCCCGTTCTTCAGCGCTCCTTTATAGATGGACCTACTCTATACCCTCCACGAGAAACTGGGGACGCTGGCCCATGCATGAAAGTGTAAGTAAATCGTTTACACAGTGAGGGAAATTCTACGTCTATTCTTGAACTATCTATCAGTTATTTTCCCTTCAAAGGGTTGCGGGAAAAAATAGGTAAAGGTGGGTTAAATAAAAAAAGCCACCACCAAAAAAGCAAATATTGGGCTGTGCATAAACTTCAATATTTTATGGATGCACATCTAGTCGACTCTAATATCGACCGCCACAGACGGGAGGGAAAAGAGAAAGAATAAGGAAAGTCATTCACATTCAAGAAGTTACCCACATACAATCACTACTTTGTTCGCAACGCGGAGGTCTATACTGTGGTTTTTCTTGGTGCATACCAGCGCAAAGCCCCACTACTTGAGCTCTTGACTTGGTGTGTACACTGAGAAAGGCCTCGTTTGCGGGGACGGGCATACCATCACACAAGTCGTCCAAAGAGAGACACCCAATCAGGAAGAATTGGAATCAAGCTGAAGCGCCTGAAGTCACTCTTTGAGGAATCCCCAGCCCTACCTATCCTTCTTACGCCAGTTCTCCCTGAAAATCTTGCCAATTTCCCCGGGCTCCCCATCGTGTTGGACCTGTCAAGGTGGCATGTATCTCTCGGGCCACAGGCTCCTCCAGAGAGCAAATTTGATATAGAGAGATATACATTACCATGGTGGGCGGCAATTGGGTAACGTCCGAACTACAGCATTTTTCGCAGCGGGGACCCGAATTCTACCTCTCTATGGCAAGGGACATGTTTGGAACATTTCCCGGTCTCTATTATCACCTCCTAAACCACTTGTTGAACGACACATTTGCACCATGAACCCTCCCTTGGTGACCCTGGGGCCTAGACCGTTCAGGTGCGAGATATGGAGGATGCATAGGTTTCTTATTCGCTATATGCTATGGAATTCTTAGAAACCGCATCAGATATGCCACATAATATATAACCATTCGGCAGAAGAGTCTGGTGACTGAAGTCCTTGCAATGGCCGCTTTCATGAAATAGAAGATGCGGGGTGGTGGAGAGTCAACAATTTCTCATATTTCCTATGAGTGCTCGCGCCATTCCTCTCTGTGAAGTGTGCTGCGAGTGCGGTGTCGCTTCCACTCTATCGAGGTCATTGCTTTAAGCATGGCCAACCCCTCTTCGTATGATAAAGATTCACCCACATACTACATCTTCCTTCTTAGCCAAAGCTCATTTCAAGTCGAGACAGCCTCGGAGAAAGAAGGTCTTCGGGCTTGTCCTTGTCCCGGGAGTCTGCAAAATAGGAGGATAAATCTGGATACATGGATCAGCCACACAACATCGTATGAATATATTTAGCACAGGCTCAGGAACTTAGGTCTGGCAGTATCAGGAGAATGAGCCATCTTTCGTTCAGAGACATAATCGCTAGCTAAGTAAATAGTGTATTAAAGTATTACTGCTAAGTCGTAGCATCCTCTCCGTCAAAAAGGAAATCTAGTGGGAAAAAGATGGGTGGAGGTAACAATGGATTGAGTTTCGTTATAGTTTTTGAGATGAGTGTGCTTCATTCTGATCTTTATGTCACTCATCGATCAATTGCCCCATGTCTCATTATCTATGATGTTGAAATAGAGCTGGAATCGGTTGGATTTGATGTCTTTCATGAGTGAGTAAGCGGAACCCAATTTGATGATATGCAAAGAGTGGGTACGGAATCCTATCAGCTATCAGGTACATGAAAGAAAGAAAGAAAAAAATAATAGCTTGAGAATAACTGTGATATATATCCAGAGCAAATAGAGAGACAGCTGCACCGGGATCAACTCCCATTGGATGATTAAAAATAAAAGAACATGCCCTTGATATTGAAAATGTGATAAGTTTAATTTGAGCTTAGCATCATACATTCTCCTTACTAGGAATCCCGGTAGCAGAAACACGAATAGTCAGCACTCACAATCAATACATAACCCTATGCCCCAGTTTCACTTGAAGTCCATTGTGCCAGTACTTTCTCTCTTCTCCGCCTTTGGCTACGTCGAATTTCATCCGGCTCTCCCGCTGCTCTCCCGACTATAGAGAAGACTCCTAAATTTTAGCTTTGCCATCCCTTTGGGGTGTCGGATGCTCCTCGGCCCATTTCTCCCTCAAGATTTTTGCCTTCTCGGATGTCTTCACGAATCCTTCATAAAGCGCAGGGAAACCACCACCAAGCGTGCGGATATCCACAGGGCGGCCAGTCTTTACGTCCATGTATGTTACAGAGCCGCAGACTTGAGCAACAACAGCTTGCTGCTTTAGCGAAAAGAGCACTGTGGTTCCGTTGTTTCGCGTGGGCTCTATGTAGTCGTGGCGGAAGGCGGCAATTACCTTGGGGATATGTAATTAGTAAGAGGTCTGGGTGCGTGCATGTGTCTCGGCGAATTCACACATCCAAGGTAAAATAAGAGACCATGTGCTCACCACGTCAGGGTATTTGACCTGTCTCCGGAAGTCCAGTTCGTATTTGCGGATGAGGGGAACGACTGTTTTGGCTTCAAATACGTCGTCTAACTCCTCCTTACTCAGGAACTCGTCATAGAACTCCATCACACGCATGTAGCATGCTGAAAAGAAACTCATGTACTGGGTGTGATTGACATGGCCGTACGGGTCCTGGTGCTCGGCCCAGAGTACTCCATGTTCAACCATGGTCTTAGGATCAAATCCCATGGCCTCCAGAGTAGAGAGCGCACGAGCACGAAGGGGTGCATATGGGTCTGTGTTGGGGTGAGGGCATGGAGCACCATTTCGCGAATAAGGCGAGAGATATGACGAATCAGCCAGTCGGGCTGATGCCGGGCTTGCATTGTCACCATCTGCCATGGCTTTTCGAAGACGGATTGTTTCTGTCGGTGGTTAGAGAATGGCCGGGTGTTCGAACATGTAGGGCCTTGGGGCGAGAGCACCAGAGGGGTGTTATTCAATCCTAAGGGGAAAAAACTGTCGACGGTTCACAGTGTCTCAGGGAGAGACAGAGGAGCGATAACACTGTAGTCCGGCCGGTCTCTAACTAAATCCCACTCTTCTTACCCAGCTGCGGCTGGCAAAGCTCCGACTAGGATCGGGGCGGATTTGCATGTTCATTCAACAAGCTCTCGAGTTGAAAATTGAACCTGTGCCAGGCCATAAATATTGGCAACCCCCCAATACATTTCTCCCACAAAAAGGCACCATGATTATGGGAAGGGTTGTCAATACTTATGGCCTATTATAGTATTTATTATATAGCTTATCACAATGAAACACATAAGCTGATAGATGTCAAGGAAGCAACGTTTGAATGATTAACGGCTGATTGCAGTGATTTCTTGGCATTCAGATACTGATGTAAGTTGGAGGAATTAACTAACTCGTGAGCTTGGCCTGTTCGGCATCGGAACCAGTTTGCCTCCATGGGTTTCGGACAGGTAATTTAGGGTTAATTCGTAAGGCTTCGTGTGAAAGTACGCATCGGATTTTTCATATGTTAATAGTGAAAACAGCCAATAATACAGTTGCTCTATAGAAGTTTCCGTCTTGGCTATGTGAGGAAACGGTGTAGGAACATGGCTGGTCGATACAGCTTCGAAAAGCGGTTTAGGATGCATGTAATATAGCCACTAGCTCATGTTGAAATCATGCGAAATAAATTGATTGCTGCTCACCACATCGCGTCCATTTCAGAGACGACTCATGCAGTCGATTTCAACTTTAAAATTTAGCCCAAATAAAAAGAAAGGAAAAGAAAGAAATCATAGCCACGTCCACACCAACCACAAATACATTATCCCAGCCACAATCGCAATGCGTTTAAGCGGCTTCAAAACCTCCGTGTAGAGTACAAGTCTGAGCCGCCGAAGGCTACCACCCCTAACGGCGCCGACACGATCATAGCTGTTGCTGCTAGCCGCACCCCTCTTCGGCGCCCAGCTATGATCTCTCAACTTCTCATCCAGCACCAGGTCAGACCGTCGTAGGCTCTCGCTGACTTCATCATGACCTGTGACGGTGCTTGGGACGTCGATTATCCGAACATGTTTTGTTGTTTCGCCATTGCTGCCATGAGATGGCAGCAAGGTGGATGTGGTGCGGCTCGAGAAGCGGCTTTCACTATAGGCGGAGGAGGTTGTGGAGGTGCTGGAGGTTGTGGAGATGGAGGCGTTGTCTAAATGGTTGGAAGCATGGCGGCTGTGGCTGTGGCTGTGAGTAAGTGGGAGGAGAGGTTCAGAGTCATGCGATAATGTTGGTGATGTTGGGTCTTGGGCTGGACGGAATGTGCAGGCGACGGCCCGGACGAGGAGGACGAGGATAGTCAAGACGAGGATGTAGCCATATTGGATGAAGATGGAGATTTGGTCAGGGAGGAGGCAGAGGTGGTTTTGGATTGTGGAGGAGGAGGAGGAGGAGGAGGTTGATAATGATGGTGATGCTGTGTTTATGGATTTTCCCGTCTGGAGGTCGATAGGGTTGTAGATGCTGACCATTTGAAAGCCCGGCCGGCGCACTCCCATTGCCATTGACAAGCTTTTCACCGTGATCTCCTTAGGCGAGCCGCTGAATTCGCGATGGTTGATTTCGCAGTAGTCATGGTCATCGCCGGAGTATATTTGCTTTACGTTCGCTCCCGCGCTGTTTATTATTTTCTTGCTTATCGTTTCTGTTAGGACATTCTGGTATTGATAGCCCCCGGAGACTCTGATAGCATTTCTTTCGTCTTTCTCAGGCAAGGGATCAGTAGAGGACGGGGGAAATCGTTCTCGCAGGGGTCCGCAGGGTGTCCCTGGAGCACGGTAGAGGGGCACATGTGTAAGGATAACTGTCGGTAGATCTATGTCGTCTGGAGAGGCCGATATCACTGGCGGTGAAAGGTCAATGGCATCGACAATCTTGGAGGGCGCAGAATAATTTTCCTTATGACCTTGGAGCGCCAGCAATTCTTCCCTAGCTGCTCGCGCTTTTATATTTGAAAGATCGTTCAGAAAATCATCGGCCGCTCTCCAAATCTCGTCACCCACTGACGTGTGTCCAGAACTGCCTGTTTGAGGATCCGGCTGATCCATCGCGCTCAACGAAACGGAGTCAACAGAGACAAAAGTGTGATTCCCCAGGATGTCTACCCGATTGCCAACGCCGAAATAAGTCTGGAATCGTTCGAGGACAGGCTTTTGTATCCCATGGCCAAACCCTAGATCATGATTGCCTGGTAGACTGGCGATGACCTTTCGGCCACGTTCGCTGGCGGCAGAATCAATCCCTCCCAATTTCCACGTATCGAAAAACAGGCGAACGAACCGTCGATACTCTTTCATCCAGACACTGTGTCCATATGGCTTAAACCGTTCCTCCGGACTTGAGCTGCTCTCCGTCCCCCATTCCCTCCCCCCGTCAAACAAATCCCCTAAGAAGAACGTAGTGTCCGGACTTAGATTCCGTTGGAGTAACGAATAGGTTCGATAGAGATATAGATCGGCATAAAACACTGTCAGGGACGAGAGTGGCCACGGCCGGCCAGGATATGTATGTGGATCGACCAACTGGGGGTCCGCTACAAAGACAACGTGATGGGGCACAGCTTGATCGGGCTACATTGTCGCGGATTTCGTCAGTCTCATGCAAATGAATGGTTTCAAATCCAATAACAGCAAAACAGGAACAACGAGAAGATAGCGGACGTAAGCCCCAAAAAAAGGACGAGGGTTAAAAAATAAAATCATACCCATTGTTCCCAGGCTGCCCACTCACACTCCCGCACACTATCTCTAAACACCCTCCGTTCCCCCCACCAGAGCGTCACCGCCCACAGCAGGATCAAGATACTCTGCAACGAACATACCAACCGTAACAACCCCAGCGCGTATCCGCATCTTCTCCTCCGCCTTGTCTCCCGGATATATGAGGCATTTAGGCGAGCTCCTTGACTTTTTATCACTGCAATGATCGTTTTTGCAACGGGAGGAAGAGAACGGTACACGCGCCGAGCGACAGAGGGTGGTTCCACAAAGTGGTCACGGTGGGAGTGGAGGGTCATTATAGTTTGTTTTATATGTCTTTTTGCAGTGTCAGTCAACGTATTATGGTTTGTGGGCAAAGAAAAGGATTGCCAAAGTAGATAGGGAGGGTATCGTTTGCGGATCGATATATGTTTACGCCCTCGCTCGTCTGGTCGCGCTGTATGTAGTATGTATGAATCGAATGGATGTACGCCGCCCACTTCAGCTGTAGATAAGACGTTATACGGACAGCTGGTGAGGAGATGAGGAGGGAGCGAACGATCGAAGGAGCATAGTTGTCGCCGTTTGCCTGGGCTGCTTTTCCAAGTCCTGTTTTCTTCCCCGTTCGTCGGTTTTTCCTTTCTTTCTTTCTTTCTTTCTTTCTTTCTTTCTTTCTTTCGTTCTTTCTTCCTGTTATTTTCTTTTCTTTTCTGCTTCTTTACTCCCACGCGAATCCTGTTTTCTTTCTCGCTGTATTATATTATAGTTATTCCCGTCGCGTGGCGAGTTGTGCTTTGGATCTTGTCGTCTCGGCATGCGGTAATAGTTGGACCACTGTTGAAGAGAGGGGTCACCGCAAGAGGGACTTATTGCCTCGCAAGGCTGTGGCTTATAACAGAATACAGGCTGTTAAATAGACATTCGTAGGAATCCTATCGGGGAAACTTGTGGTCGTTATATATCCAGCAGGAATGGTTGAAGAACGAAAATGACTTTCTTGGCGCGATCATGGAATCATGAATTCAGGGTAACTAGTGTATACGATAAGCGGTACGGAGTAGTTGAACAAGATCTCTTTTTTGGAATGTCAATTGCAAGGGTAATTCAGTCTCATCGGCTATTTAAAAATGAGACTTCCGCTGAACAGAGGGGAAAATCTTAGGTACAGTAAGTCATCAAACACCAAACACGCCTGCCTCCCTTAGCAAGAAGAACGTTTGAAAGGCACTTATCAGACAGCAGCTAAAAGTAATATCCCTACTCTGACTTACAGTAGTTGCTTAGACGGAGGAAGGGTGGATGATTTCTTCGCCACCCTATGAAGGTCGGAAGGTTGGCCTCCGAGTGAACGACGCAACCAAAACACTCCGCTCTTGAAACATTTGCCGCCTTGTCAAAACTGACTGCCAGCATAGCCTGCCAAACGCCCTTTGCCCTTGCGACATGCACGAAGCATCGTAGGCCCACTCCAGAAGCGACTTGCCACTGTTGTCCTAAGGACATGCCACACCAGTTGAAGTAGATGTTCCATACTCTGGGGAATCGGGGACGTAGAGTTCTACTGGCCAGCACGTATCCTTTGATGCATCCTTTTCCCAAGTCTCGCTGTTCGAGAATCCGCGGTTGACAATTGCTGGCCGAGTTCATGAATGAGCTGTCCGGAGAGTCGCCTCATGAAATAATAATGCCCGAATCGTTGATACCCAGCCTATATCATTCAATCCAGTGCTCAAGCACATTTGTCGAGCGTTCCTGCAATGGCAGATTGCCCAGGGATCCTGATCCAGGTACTCTGGGTGGCCGACATGATAGATATTCGGTTTATCAGCCTCATACCGTAAAAGATGTCCGTGTCCACCCGCGACCCATGGGTATTTATTTGAGCCCGTGTCCAGCAGGGCTCATGGTAGCCACCAATTGAAGGACTTCAGCATGAGTGCCTAGGATGGGATCGACATCGAGTTCTCGCATCCTACTCGGGAAAATGATCGACCTACTATAGAATTTTATTTTTTTAAAGCACATCGTTGACTTCCTTCCATCGCGAAAAAATCGCAATCTCGGCTGCAGAGGTTAGGAGTTGATGGTTAAGTGCGTTGAATGGATTTCAGGATCCAGGGGTTGACGGAGCGAGAGTAAATTAGGCAACAGATTCGATTTGTGGAGGACTCAGCCAGGTATTTATTTATAAAAAGCACTTCGCGAACAGGCCGGAAATTGCAAAATCTGGAGATATTATTTTTCTTCACGATAAGACTGAAATTTTCTACCAACAAGTGCAGTGTGTCAACAATTCCAGTGTCTCCCCCGAAAGCTTTTTCTGTCAATCTGGCCTGGGCAGATGAGAGCATACTTCGTGAATAATATTAGCAATGCCTAGTCTCGACATGAAATACGGTAGGGTAGTATGAAGACGAGAGAAATGAATGAATGAACGAAAGGTCCTGGCCAGATGGTTGGCGAAATTGAGGATATTGTTGAGGGGGACTTGTGGAAATACTCATAGCTAGAGCAACTAATTTGTCCATGTGCTGTGCGGAATCGAGGAATGAGCAGATTGGTGTATTTCCAGAGCCATCTAGGAACGACAGTGAGGCGATAAGTGGCAACCATCCTTGCTGTAACTACAGATTCTTCATGTTGTTATGCATACAGAGTAGGAGGTAGGTTGGATAGTTGTTCTGGATAGTTGTTCATGTGGTAAGCGTTATCATGACGAAAGATTCGGAGGCAATTGACTCCAGAGTCAGGAGTAGCCTCTCATATGTTACAGAGGAAGTGGAATTAGAAGGAGAAAGAAAAACAAATCGAAGAAGCGTATGATGATATAGACAACCCAGAAGAAACGAAGCAACTGAACACAGCCGTGCCTGGCCCGGTTCTCGTACCAGACAAGCTCTCTGGCATCGGATGCGGAGTGAAGAAAGCTCAAAATGAACACTCTATCGGATGTTACATATTAGTAATCCCCATGCATTTATGAAGGTAATTAGATATTGTTTCTCAATTAAAACCAATTAATCATTTACGCCAAAATAATACGTAGTAAACAGTAGATAAGAAAAAGAAAATAGAGGTTCAAAAACATTCACCAATCCAAAGTATTCCTCCATCGTAAATGGCGTAAGGAACTGTGTATCGACCGGCGCCTGAGCAATGTTCAAGAATTACCAATCTACCCTAAACGTCAAAAAAAGAAGAAAACAAGTTTTTTAATAAGGCAACCAAAACATTCTACCTAGAGAGTTGAGAGGAGAGAAAGGTGGGAACATCATTTGCCACCGGGGCAACACTGCTGTCCATCGGCGCACTCGACCCCACACTCAAGCAGGCAGTTAGGGTCAACAGTATTTGACCCATGACAGCGCTGTGCTCCTCCCTTGGGAGAATTCGACGTCGTCGCCGAGCCACCAGCCGCATCATCAGCGTCGCTGTCCGGATAGAACTCCGGCTGGATAGTTGATGAGTGAATGCCATATGCGTGCAGACATCTGCGCACCTGGCGTGCAAGCTCCATGTATCGATCGGACCCTTCGCCCTTGACATCATGACTGACTTGGATGTGCAGCGAGCAGACGAGTTGCGTATCGCTGAGCTGCCAGACATGCAAGTGGTGACAGCTGATGATGCCGGGCAGGCTCTGGATGTCTTCGATGATGTGGTCGATGCTGAGGTCGGGGGGAACGGCTTGGAGGAGGATGCGTGACGCGGCTTTGCAGAGCGGGATGGCAGAGCAGAGGATTATGAAGGTGATCACGAGCGAGATGCCCGGGTCTACGTAATAACGCCAGGAGTAATCGGTGAGCCAGATTACGAGGGCGGAGATGATCACGCCAACGTTTCCCAGGGCGTCGCCAACTACGTGGAGGAAAACACCTCGCATGTTTAGGTCGCCATGCGAATGAGAATGGCCACCCTTCACATCGTGTGTTTTCGGTCTGGCGTGGTTGTGCTCGCCGTGTAAGTCTTCGTGGCTAGCGGCTTTGGGTATCATTCGAACTTGTTCTTGACCGTTTAGATGAGTATATGGTGTACCATCGTAGTCACTCAATAAATCCGTTTGTTCCGATGGCCGAGGGCCGTTTAAAGGATATTCCGCGTCCGACCCGTCAAATCGACTGGCCTCAATGATATCCCGACGCAGGATGGCTGGGTGGATTTGAATATCTTCCGAATCACGGAAAGGCCATTGGACTGACGCACTAAACCGACGGGAGTTGCGGCGTTTGTTGGCATCAGATTCGCTCCACCTGCTTGCACCAGGAGTAGACGTGTTGTTCTCCGTAGCACCCCGTTCTTCAGCAGACAATCTCGATATTCCATTTTCTGGTGCTGCGCTCGCCACGGTCACCGATTCGTCCGCTATTCCCCCCGTACCCGGCTCCTGAATGTAACCCTGCTCCGCCGTATCGACTGCCTCCGTTCCTCCACTGTGGGCATGCGAGTGGTCATGGAAAAGCACCAATCCAAGAATATTCGACACCAGACCGCAGCAGCCGACGACAAACACGAGCTTCGGGTTCCTCACTACTTGCGGCTCGACGAATCGTTGGATAGCTTCAAGAAAGATGGAAAGACATAATGCGACGAGGAACACGCCATTGACAAGCGCACCAAGAGTTTCGGCCCGTTGCCACTGTAAATTGTCGTAATTATCATCATATTAGCTCTGGCCATTGCGTGCGGTGCTCGATCAAATTCGCAGGACAATGAGACCCATTACTTACCCCATAGGTATACACTTTCGAGCTGGTTCTCTCATTTGCGACTTTGACAGCCCAGAGTCCGACACAGAGTGATAATACATCATTGAGCTAAACACGCAAAAAGGCGAAGAAATAATTAGTTAACCGAAAAGACAAACAAAAAAGAAAAAAAAGAAAAAAAAGAAAAAAAAAAAAGGAAAGGCCCTCTCGCATTCTCCACATACCATATGAAACGAATCCGCAACCAAAGCTAGTGAATGGACGGAATAACCTAACCAAAGTAGAAAAAGAAGAGAGTCAGCAGAGGCTCCTAACATAGCTTTTCAAAATTTGTCCACCGGCAATAAGAGTCCGTAAACTCACCAACGACTAGTTCGAGGAGGAAGAATAGGGAATCGATTAGAAGGAGGAGAATGATCCGGTGGGATTTTGACATCCCCATGGTCTCCGATTTTAGAATTGGCACCGCCCCGGGGCGAGCCAACGGATTTGATAGGTCAAAAGCAAAATGTGCAATCGAACAGCTTTCTTCCACAGACTATTGAGAGCTAGAATAGATGTTGGGTGTTGAAACCGGCTCTGCGATCTTTTTCCTTAGACTCCGAGAGGGAATGATCTTTGATGAGGTGGGCATGGAGATAAATGAAGATGTAATATCACCATCCTGTCCGCGCAACATATCACCATCAAGGGGATGAAAAGCGGAAGGAGGAGTCCGGCGTGAGGAGATACCTTTTCCCAAGAAAGCGATGAAACAACTGTAGTGTTACCAAACCAAGCCAGATCTGTTGGCGCGATATGGCAGCTTTTTGGGGTGGCGGAAGGAAAAAAGTCAAAAACCGGGAGATCGGGTCTCAGGGTTTAGTCAGCAGATTAGGACAGGTGTTTAGACCGTACTTAACTTATAAGGGTTAGCAGGCCAGATCTCGGCTGACGGCAATTGTTAAGACTTCCCGGGCCACGGCTACGGCGATATGTCTTAGGCTCTGAGTCGGAGCAGAAACAGTTCCGATAATCTGTACAGAATATAGATTTAGCAGATACTAGATACTTTGCTGTTAAACCTCTATGTAACTCACTACTAGTACTGTTTGAAGCAACCCGGGTGAGTGGTCAATTTCTAGATTTTCAACTATTCAACTATTCTGTCTCTTTATTATAAGAACCGCGATTTGCTTTTTGGTTGTATTTTGACGTTGCAACCCCATAAGCGCCCTTCGTTGATATGCTGAAGGCTAGCAAAGTTCTTTCCCGCTTACCCAAGTAGAAACGCACTGCTACCAGCAAATATCTATCAATCCATCAGCTAGTCTACGACCTTGTAATGTCCTTTCAACTTCGTCTCTCACTCAATCTGCTCTCCACAGCCAAGAGACGAAAGAATAGCATTGCAAGTCTCCGTAATACCATTCCAACAGAAAAATAATTGAGAGAACCAAAGAATATTCAAAGAGAGACCTGCGGACAAACATTAAGTGTTTCCCCTAGTTCACGTCCATTCCACCTACAATGGTCCAGTAAACCACTAAGCCGGTTCTTAATGGACCTGTACTGAAGTTCCACGTGAAGTTGGCGTTTGTTTCAGAGCAACTATAAAACCACAACAATCAGAGATGGCAAACCCTCTTGATATTTTCAAGTCTTACCCAGTTTGAACGAAATCCATGGCCCCTTCTGTGCCAAGGACAATAACAGCGGGATTTGTCAATTTGACGCCGGCCTCCAATCTTCCAGCCACAGGGGCAAGTGCCATTTCCAGTATTATTCCACTTTCCACACCTGAGGCATTTCCAGACCATTGTGCGTGAAGAGGTCGATAGAAATCAAAGAAGACAACTCAAGAAAATCGATTTTAACTTCATTTATGAGGAGGCTTAAAGGGGTGAAGACTGACTGTCCTGCCAAAAATAGGAGAGTCATTCGAGCTTTAAATATGTGAGTCTGTCAACTCTTCCACGGCAAACGCGGCCTGAATTTCCTGCAAGGGATGGGTAACCAATTCTGAGAGAACAGAAATTACAGCACGGAGCCGATGAGACATGATGTTGCCAGCCGTAGAAAACGGCCATTTGCTTCTACGCAGTAGGCAACAGTGCCCTCAATTCCTACGTACTTTAACAAGGCCTCTATCAAATCCGTAGGGTTATCATGAGGCTTGACATTCACTTTCTTGTATCCAATGAGAGGTTACTTGAATCCGGTTTGGTTATACACATTTGCAGATACCTAGTAGGGAGCGCGGTGGAATCCTTGACAGCAACATGATAATTTGTTCTATTGTCTTGACATTCAAACAAACAAACAAACAACCAAATCCGGCAGGTTGCAGTTGGATACGGATTGGGGTTCGGATTTTTAGCTAAGAAATTTTGAACGACAAAGAACTTTGACCTCCGCCGGGGATGTGAGTTTGAATCACGTTTGAAAGTTTTTCCAGCCAAAAATCTGAACCCCATCCAGCTTTTTTGAACCCGGTTCAACTGTACGCTCAAAGAAATCGGCCAGTTATTCCTGAATCAACAAACAATTCTTTGCTCCCTGTTATATTTGTTTCTCATCTCAAACCTCCTGCTAGCCTTGACTTTCACAATGTCTTCCTCTACAGATGAAGAATGGCTCAAGAGATGCCGAAACGAACATATGCCGTTTCCCCCGTTTGATAGGTACATATATCTACTACCCGAACACGTCGTGAAAAAGAGACTTATCCCTGGCGAGTTGGGCTATGATGGCTACGAGCCTGAGTTCTCCACGATCTCCTTACGGGACGGAAATGAGGTGCGCACTCTAGAGCTCGTTCGCCAATACACGAACATACCGGTGCCAAAACTCATACATCAAGGCGATGGGTAGGTGGGGCAGTATTCCAATCCAAGTCACGGCAGCTGATAACAAATTTCATCTTTTACATATAGATTCAATGTCTTTGAAAGGATCCCTGGCATTACAGTGAATGAGAGTCCAACATGGGATAAAATTTCCCCCCGTCAACGAGAGGCGATTAAGCTTCAAGTGCAGAATTATATCAAGGAGCTGGCGAAGGTTCCCAACCCCTCTGCAGGGGTTCGATCGCTGAGCGTTTCAGGCGAGATCATCCACCTTCAACTTCCTCACCGCGGACCTTTCGAGTCTACGAAGGCTTTTCTCAGAGCCTACGAGGACGAGGATGCGCCATTTATTCACCAGATCAACCCACTCAGCAAGCCGGTGTTATCGCATCTGGATTGGGACCTTTCAAACATTGTGCTGCATCCGAACTTGGATGCCGTAGCGGGTGTGATTGACTGGGAAAGAGCAGCATTTTTCCCAGAAGGTGGGAGAAGTATTCACCGGATGTGTCACCAATGGGAAGGCTGGGAGACGCTCTTCGATGGGATTGAATTCCCACTTGAACAATAAGTGGTGAAGGCTGAAAAACATTGTAACTCTCCATGGTTTAAGTGGTATCTTCCTCAATATGTTCAAAACTCCCTGGATTGGTAGAAGATGAAAACGGGTGAAATAGGGTAGAAAGGTTTGTCCCAATACAATGGGGTTATTTAAAAATTTCGGCCGGAAAAACTTTTGGCATGGTTCTCAAACATCTCATATTTCTCAGGTCCTAGTCCCCTCTAAATTGCACTCAGTCTCTCAACCTTTCCCACCCCCCCCCATCGTAGGAGTTGAAGAATTCAAGTGGAGAAAAACAACCAAGGTTGAAGCTCAAGATATATAGAGGGATCACCCTCCCTCAAATTTCAGGCTGGGTCATGGAGTGGAGACGGGAATGATGGATCTTTTAAAGAGTCGGCCCCCACAGTTGGTTGCGCGATGACAGAAATGATGATTCTTCTATGGAATCGTAGAAGAAAGGGGGAGGGGGGGAGAAAAGATTCAGATGCCAGGCTAATTAATGACTGTAATCCAAAACCATTGCTTTGACTGACAAGAATATATCTCAGAAACACAAATGAGCTGATTGAACCAGTTAACCTGGTTCTGCATTGGCAATTTTAAGTAAAGCAGCATACTATTGTCTTACTCAGAGCTCAAATCAAATTGATCTTGGGGGGCTCTGCATGTGTATATACAGAGAGAGTACAGAGGACGCTGTCAAAAGTGAGTAGCATCTCACGCGAAGGATTTGAAGATAGAATTAGCTGGGGGTTAGGAATCAGAAAAGGGAGGTGGATTAGAAAATTAGGTAGAGGATTAGAGATTAGATTAGAGTAGAGTATTAGTTAGAGAGTAAAAGAATTTGAGAAACGTAGAGAACACCCCCCTAGAAGCACACAGTTAAGAGAGGAAAAAATACTGGAGAGTGCAGCTTTAACCAAGGCTCAGAAATTGTACATGTACATATCAAATGAGCACTTTCCAACCTCGAATCCGGTGATGATGGTGAGTTTGAACCACACTGAAAGTTTTACCAGTCTAAAAATTCGAACCCTGTTCAACAGTACGCCCGATGATGGTCTGCTTAGGCTGGCATGGTACCAGAAGCAGTCAGATGGAAATAACGAGATAATGGCAGGAAGATCTTCAAGGCGATCACCGAGATATTGGTTATTTTATGGCCTTCTATTGGTTTTATTTTCTGGCAGTTATCAACACCACTAGCACAAATGCCGCCGCGATTATCTGTATATAAAAATTAGGGGTATGTGTGTCAGCAGCTGTTGGGGACATAACAATTCGTGGAAAAAGTAACAAAGAAAGAAAGCAGGGAAGAGGAAAAAGTGCGTCTCGTTTCGCCTATTCCGGATCTTCATCGTGCTGAGCCATATATTGTAGAACGATAACTGCCCTTGCACGACGGCTGCATAAAACCTTCCGCCGTGACAGCCCAAAAAAAGAGGAAGTGGGGTTTAAAAGAAAAGAAAAGAAAAGAAAAGAAAAATACGCACCCCAGCCGCACAAGCACCAGAAACGCCCAATTCCCAACCGCCGGCATGCACCTTGCCTCGCGCCAGGGCGTTCTGCTGCCTCCAGAAGCGGTACGAGCCCACAGCGGCAACCGCTATCGCACAGGCGTGACACCCACAGGCCAGCGGCTTGCCGACGGCGTGGAACCCGAACGGCGTATCGTCTTGATCTTGCCTGTTCTGCAGGCTGAATAACTGGGCTATGAGGGCGCCTTGGAAGGCGAAGGCGAGGGATGTGCGGATGTAGGCTAGGAAAGTCCGTTCGAGGGCTATTATTCGTGTTTTGGTGTTTTGGTCAGTTGGTTAGAGAATTTTGTAGGCGAGTGGTTTCTTTAGATATTTTCAATTATATACATATATATATATGTGTGTGGGTGTGTGGGTGTGTGTAATGGGTTATGGCTTGCGGGTGGGGTATTGTAAATGTTATAACTAAGATGTGTTAAAGGACCGTGAGTGGGATGGAGTGGTCAGACCCCAAGCTCATCTGGAGATAACTTTAGAAGATACCTTCTCCAGAAGCCAAAACATAAAGCTCATGAAAACCAAACTTTTGGACATGGTCCAAGGGGCAGGGATGGAATGGAGTTCTTTTGCTTTTTATGCTCTGATGGATGGCGTGCTTGCTACTAGAGCTGGCCGGCTCATTTTTGGGGATCACCAAAGCTGGCCAGCCTCTTCGGCAAAGTGGACGCAGAGAGAAACATATAACTGACCCCCCACCCCCATTGAGACGAATAATATAAAAATATTAAGATAAAAAAACACTCACTCACACTCACACTCACATTCACAAAAGGTTCCCCAAAAAAGAAACAATATAAGAGAAAAAAACTCACCAAAATGATCCCTGTTCTGTCTCCGTGGCACTGTCATCGAAACATGCCGAAACCAGAATCTCTTCACTCCCCCCAGGATGCCCGTGTTGCTACCCATATTTTCCACGCTGTCACCGGATGTGCCCGACCGCTGTGTGCTTCGTGTACGTTGGACAACCAGGCGCACGGAGCCTGAAGAGATCGATGATGCCGAAGATGGACTGCTGTGGTTACTGCCGTTGCCATTATCGTTATCAATATCAATATTATTATTGTTATTGCGATTGCGGGCGGTGTCACGATCATGATCGTCGCTGTGATCTGATGCCGGGAGCGGGGCGAGGTCGACGAGTTCCGTTACATCTTCATAGTTCTCGTTATTGTTATTGCCAATTGCTATCGTTGCAGCAGCTGCTGCCGCCGCCGCCGTCTTCGATGAGGTGCTTATGCCGCGCTGGCGCTGGTCAGAGGCTTCCTTGGGCTTCACGACGTCACGGCAGGGAATTATGAGGTGGTTGACGGTGGACGTTGGACGAGAACGGGAAGGGGTAGCTTCGTCCTCCCTTGCTGTCGCTAGGGGTGCGGAGGTGGGGCTGTGGAGGGTATAGTTGGGATGGATATCAGGAGTATTATTACTGTCCTTGCCGCTGGTCGTATTGTTATTGGGAAAAGTAGACTGCAGACTGGCCATGACGGGGACACATTATGTCTCTTCTTCTGAAAGCATGCAGCAAGGGGGGCAGCCTCCCCCAATGGCAATAATTGACTTACTGGGCAAGGGGAGCGCGATGGGACCTGAGAAGCTGACGTGCAGGATAGTATATTTAATTATTTTCGTATAACAAAACTTTTGACCTTTTGTGTATATATTTCGCCCACTTCTATGCTGCCAGCGAGTTGACCGTATTTGACGTTCTTGCTTGTTGATGCTTGGGAGCGACGATGGACCCGGAGAAAACGCCGGACCTGAACTTTTTTTTTTTTTTTTTTTTTTTTTGGCCGCTGACAAAAGCTCTTTGCAAATCCATGGTTCTTCCTTTTCCCCCGCCAAAGTACGGCAGCACTTGATTCGATCCACTGAACCTACCATTGACCAGAAGAGGAGAAGAATTCCCCAGATTCTCAATACTGCTGTTGGTTTACTTTCCGATGGTGTGGTTGTATCCTTGGTGGAACGCTGCGCGAACCGGCGGGCGGATCCTTTACAGCCAATCCATCTTAGCACTGTCACTTACTACTACCAGTACCTCTCTCCATGAATCTTCAATCCTAGTATCGCCCACGGATCTTTAAGAAGTCGACTATATCTCGAGTTCTCTGTCCGCATTTTGATGATGATTGCATGTCGGCTCGGCGCGGAGATAACTACAGGCATACTATAGGCCAAGACCGGCTATCGGCTAAGGTTACGATTTGCCGGGACGAAAACCCGAAATTCGAGGGAATCTACTAGGCGCCTTCATTTAGTAAAGCGGCAGTTATACTTGTGATACTGACTCTCCTGAACACAACAGCCTGAGGACACCAATATGAGCAATATGCCCTATCCTTCATCCTTCCTAGCGGAGCCTAAATTGTCTACGATCCAAGATTTTATTCCTAACGAGATCCTTGGTTCTTTTCAGAGTTAGTCCAACATGGCCCAACGATCAAAGGGATTGGCCAAGAAGGCCCTATCCCGATATCGGCTGCGGGGTTGTTATGTACAGCGTAGGCTCTCAACAGGCTCACGCCCCCGAAAATACACCCACATTGACACACGTCGATATGATTCTAATGCGCTGCTGAGTGTATTACATTAGGCTGTGGGTTTAAGGAGCAGTGTTTTGATCAAATGTTCATATGTTCTCCACAGTGAAGATGCTGGGTTGTTTTTTTCTTATTTGAAACCGATAGGCCTCAAAAAAAAAAAAAGAAAAAGAAAAAGAAAAAGAAAAAAGAAAACCTTAGAATTTTGGCCGAAATCTAAAGCTATCAATATCAGTATTAGTACTTCTGGCCTCCTACGTGGAATGTATTTCGTGAATCGCCAGGTCGAGCGGAAGTTACTAGTAACCATTGAAGAAAAAGGTAATTAAAAACATGACACAGACACAGGTTTCAGACAAGCGAAAGGATTACTGGTCTGCAGAGGTATGTACTGTACATACATTTCCATAGAGATTGGGATCAGAAAATCAACGTCTTACCCTCCAGTCAGGCATATCAAGAATCGGCTGCTTTTGTTCCAAAGCTGGCGCACAAAGTGTTGCAGTATCTCAATCCCCAACCAACGGACAGGGTGTTGGATGTCGGGTGTGGGGATGGGAAGTTCACCAGCAGTTTCATTCCACACATAAAATCGGTGCTGGGTGTAGACGCCTCCCCTTCGATGATTAGCTCTGCCAAACAGCATTATGGCGTCCCCAAAGCCGACTTTCGAGTTGTGGATTGCAGGTATCTAGATCTGGAACAGGATATTCTTAATGGGGCATGGGATAAAGTGTGAGTTTCTTTTTTTCTTCCTTCCTTCCTTCCTTCCTTCCTTCCTTTGGTTATTTGCATACTCGTAGCCGATGGCTTGTCAACAAAAGGAGCTTAGAACTGAGGGGGAAAGTCAACAGGGTTTCCAACGCTGCGCTGCACTGGATACTGAAAGACGCATCCACAAGGCTCGGAGTGCTGGAAGCAATATATCGGTGCCTTAAGCCAAATGGGACCTTTGTATTCGAAATGGGAGGCCATGGAAACGTCCCCGAGGTCCACAGCGCGCTGCTTGCCGCGGTGATACATCAGGGAGCAACAATTCAGCAAGCACGCACCGCGGACCCGTGGTTCTTCCCATCTGAGACTTGGATGAGAGCGAAATTGGAGGAGATTGGCTTTCGCGTCGAGAAGCTGGAAGTCGAATATCGGCCCACCAGACTTACCGCCGACGCAAATGGCGGTCTTGCCGGGTGGGTGCGGTTAATGGGATCCGAGATTCTAGACATTGTGGATGCGGACCGCAGAGAGGCTGCGGTTGAGGAAGTCTCTCAGGTATTGGAAACCGTTATCACCAGGGAAGAGGATGGGAGTGGGTGGCTGGGATATGTTCGTCTTCGAGGCGTTGCTGTGAAGGCATAATGACTGTTTAATTGATGTTTGGACGTGTTAAAATTGCAACACTTATTTTTGCTCTGGAATCGGCTTGAAGCAACTTGTAGAGAGAACAGAAAGTTTTGCCTCAGCATCTTTGACAGAGCTCCTGTTTCTATCTATGTTAGCGCCAAATCGAATGTGAGTTAAACGGTTCATGACTTCATTTAGTATTAGAAACTAGAGATGGTACGATGGTAAGATTTAGGGCGACTTGTGAAGTAGACCCTCCGAAAAATGGCTAGAAAGTAAATGTTCTCGCATCCCTAGTCCGCTCTCCATTAACCTTGAGGAAAAGAGCAGTTCTGAAATGAGATGGAGACAAAAGGTTAACAGAAGGAACAAAGAAGAGCTCCAGGAAAACAAAATAATAAGAAAAATCAAGAACTCTCCATCCAGGGGGAGAAATCCATAGCCCACATAACCAGAGTGGCCCCTTTACACCCCACCACAGGTGGAAGGAAAGAGATACGAAATCTCGAAACAACTCAAAACACCCCACCAACAGACAAGCCCGTCAATAAAAGAGAAGAACGGAACCACACGCCAAAAGCACCAACAAGCCCCATGATAACGCCGCCGACGAATCGGGGGTTTTCAGGAAACGAGTGCTGACGGAGCGGGCAAAGAACCCTCCTCCCTATATCAGAAACAAGCAAGCAGTCAGACTGATTCAAGATCATACCAGGAAAACATCGTATCTCCTCCTCTAACCCCTTGGAAGCAAGGAAAATAGAGGGGATTGGATAATGTGAGCCATTCTCCCTCTGGTATGCGTGGCTTTTTCTTTTCTTTTCTTTTCCTTTCTTTCGTTTTCCACCAGAACTCTTCTACGCTCTTCTCCTCTTATTGCTCTTGCGCTTTTCTCATAGACTAGCTCACTATCGGTAAAGACAGCGAGTGGTCATCAGAGAGACTTGTGATCTGCCGACCATGGGGATGAAAGGTTGGCAGACGAATGTTTGCTCTGTTCTTAAGCAGCGCGTTTTTTTTCCTTTATATTAGGAGCTCCTTCAGGGTGTAGGTATTAGCGAAAGCATCACATCCGCCTGATGCAGGAGAAGGTGATGGAAGAAGGTTAATAATAGAGCAAATACTTTTGTCGGGGAGGGGGGAGAAGTTGAGAATGCGGAATGCGGATGAAAGCAAGCAAGGGAGATGCGATTATAATACACGTTCATCTAAAAATACATGGATTGTGAAATTCATGCCCCTCTAGACAATAGGAAAGTACATCACCCGTTCTATATCGAAAGGTTTTGAAAATATATTCAAATATGGCACGACATAAAAATAGGATAACCATAGCCAAAATGCAAAAGTAGGGAGGGGATTTCTATATACTTAGTTTGCACCGGTATCCACACCTTGTTCTTCAGAGCTGGCGGTACTATCCTCTTCAGGGCCCATGGAAAGCTTTCTCACATCCCAGCCATCAAAATCGGACCCGTCTTTCCTCTCTCCCAGGAGACAGAATACCTGTCGCGATCCATCAACGAGAAACTTTTGAGCGGCAATATTCACGTCCTCGGCGGTCACATCAAGAACCTGCTCGCGCCAGCGCTGGTCCATCTCCTGGGTTACACCTGTCATGAAGTAGCGCTGACCTTCTTCATCAATGCTCATCGGAGCGTCAAGACCCTGGAAAATGCCGAGTTTCGCTTCATCCATCTCCCGCGTCGTCCAGGATCGGTCTCGCGCAAAGGTTCCGGAGTTATTGAATACTTTTAGGGAATTCATGGGGTTGGGGTCGCGGTAGCTTGAAAAGGCGAAGTAGCCTTGGATGGGGGCGCTGCTGGCGCTCGCTCCATATGCACCTCCTTTCTCCCGGATTTCTTGGTGGAGGTAATTATGGGTCAAGAGTTGGGAGAGGACACTGAGCGATGCGCTAGAAGGATCGGTGAACGTTGTTGTTGGGAGGGCAAGCCCAGAATAAGATACTTTGTACGGGAGATTATAGAGGATTTTGGAGGCTGATTGGCCAAAGGTAAATCCTTCGGTTGCCGAGGTGGGGTTAAGATTACGGGGCAGACCGGCAAGCCAACTTTGAAGAGTTGCTTCGTTGGCACCGGCGCTTTCCGGTTCGCAGACCACTCGCACCCGGAATTTGATGGATTTCGAAATCGCAAAGGATTGTATCATCTGAAGTTTTCGAATGAGCTCCTGCAACCGTTCAGACGACGTTTCCGCATCATGGAGAAGCCTTACGGTAGCCTGGACTTGTGCTAGACCTGATAATTGTTCACTTGCCCAGAACTTTTTAGAGAGACCGGAAGTCGCAACATTTATAGCATATCGATGACCTGAGCCTGCAATTGAATCAATTGCACCGTTGGTGGATGATCGCAGTAATTCTTGTATCATGCGCGGAGCCACAGGATTGTTAAAATCAGTTTCGGTTACCAAACTGGACATCATGTCAAGCATGGTCGAGAAGTTCTTATCGAGGGAATAACCAGAAAATTGAAGGCCTTCAGAGTATCTATCCAGGGATGTTGGGGAAGATACAATGAAAGTAGATGATGAAATACCACCAGTCTTGAGCTTTATTAAATCTTCCCACTGTTCCATTGTTCGTCCGGCGGTGCCGAGTCGCATTATGCAGTCATTAAAGAGAGGTAGAAGTAGTCGTAGCTCGTCGGGCAGATTTTCAAATGAGTTCATTGCCTGGAAGTAGGAGAGGCCATTTGTTGGAGCTTCTCTCCAAACCACGTCGACTTCATCTATTTTGGACTCCCTCACGTTTTTCCATTCCTTCGTTCTTGAGATATCTTTCACGTGGAGGGTTGGCAGGCAGCTCAAATCTGCATGTTGGGCCGCCTCCTGTACTTTCAGTAACTCAAATTCCTCTCTCTTGAGTTTGTCAACTGCTTTTTCAAGAGAGCCTGTAACTTCAGTCAACTCTGCCATTTTCGCCTCTTTTCGCGCTACCTCCATTTCGTCCAGTTGTTTGTTATAAGACGGTGATCCAGCCATCGTAAATGTCATGGATTTATCGGTCATAAAGTATTTTTGCATAAGTTGTTCCAGGTAGCCACCTTTCTCATAGCGTTCCTTGAATTCGTTGATCACTTCGTTCCAAGCCAACTCTTTCATCGGATTGGAGCCATTAAACCAAGATGATAGCGTCTTTTCCATAATTCCAATCCCGAAGTTGGCAGTCTTGTGTCTCAATGCCAGTTCCAATTGATGCAGTATGCCCTTTACTTTTTCATCGTTGAATCCCGTGGCCGAGAACTCCTGAAAAACCGTTTGTACCTTTACTTTCACGAGGGCAACGTCCTTTTCAGCAACCCCGTTCACACCAACTGAAAAGATAGGAATTCTCCCAGATGTGTCCAGGCCAGTGTTGGGTGTAAACGAGGAGCCAATTTCACTTTCGACCAGAGTCTTGTACATAGGTGACCCATATCCGTCAAGAAGAAGGGATGAAAGAACCCCCATTGAGAAAGTCTCCACGATGTTAGTGGAATCACCTGCAGGCCAAGATAATGAAGTTTTGAATTGCTTGTCCTCACTGGTAAATGGGTCGATGGGACCAGGAATCGTGACGCTAAGGGGCCCATCCTGCAAAGAAAGTGGACGTTTGACCTCCCTATCAGGAGTTGACCTTTCAAAACCATCCAAGACACGCCCAACTTGTTTTAAATGATCAGCTAGAGGCATATCCCCGTACGTGAAAATTTTCGCATTGCTTGGGTGGTAATTCTTTTTCGAAAATTCGACTAATTGCCTGTGGGTTAGGTCTGTTATATACTGCGGATCACCGCCTGAGTTATTTATGGCAGGAAATATTTGTTCCTTAAACTTAATATAGTATAAGTAATTGGCATCCGACATCTGCCCTTTCATCTCATTATAGACCACTCCCTTGAAAACAATATCGTCTGCGGAGGTTGAGCTCTCATTTCCATCTTTCGGAGCCATGGATGCGCGCGGATCTTCAGGTCCTAGGCGCCATCCTTCTTGTCGGAAATCTTCCTCTTTCAACAAGGGGTGTAATGTAGCATCAAGGTAGACAGATAGGAGGTTCTGGAAGTCTTGCTTATTGGTTGTGGCAAACGGATAGGTCGTATGGTCAGAGGAAGTGAAAGCATTCATGAAATTGGATAAAGAGCGGGGCAGCATTTTGAAAAATGGGTCGCGAACAGGGTATCTAAATGAGGCAAAATAATCAGCATATAAATCCCACCCACGAAACCGGAAGAGCTGAGATTTCCTTACTTCTCACTGCCGCATAGAGTTGTATGCTCAAGGATATGAGGCACGCCAGTTGCGTCGGGAGGATTGGTTTTGAACCCAATGCCAAAAACATTATTTTTGTCATCTCTGGCCACATGGAGATACTCTGCCTCTGTTTTATCGTGTTTCAATAGAACCGCAGTCAAATGCAGCTCCGGAACATGCTTCTTCTCCTGGACGGTGAACCCGTGTAGTTTTTCGTCCACTGCAGGATAGCTATCTAGCTGTGTGACGGTAGAAGCTAGTCTCCGATTCTTCCCAAGCAAGTACCCACGATTCACGTTATTGCGCAGGGAGGAAAAAGCGGGAGATCTCGTCGAAAAGGACCCATATTTCAATAGCGTGTTGGTTGATCGAAGCATATTGACAGGAGGAGAGTTGGCGGCGAGAAACGCTACCCTAAAATGCAAATACCAGAAACACGTTTTAGTTCCTAGACACCATTTACCAATTATAACTGATCCATTAAATGAGTGGACAGAGTCGATATATATATATATATATATATATCAGCTCAACGCGAGCTATGCCGTCAGATCAAGAATCGGTTGAACGCTATGAACCAGTGTTCTGGTTACGGCGCAAACTGAGATGAGAACTTTTCGGCTGGTAAGGAACAGCTGCTCTGTTTTCCTTGAGAAGCGGTATGACTGAGGAAAAGAAAACAGCACAAGAGCAACCTCAAAGTAAGCTGGGACAAGTCGGCGAAATATAATTTTCATGTCGCTCGTCGAGGCGTAGTCCAGCAGTTAGCCACAAACTTGGCCCGGCTAGGACTAGCGTTGTTTGGCTGGTGTGGCTTCTCCCCTCTACGTCTTGAGCCTGAACTCGACCCGGTTTGACTCTGCCCCGTCAATCTCTCTAAACGGCATGAAGCAGCCTCCTCGCTGGTCTCGTCTTCACGCTCGGGAATTTCGGAACTAGATATCGAGGCCTTCTCCTGTCACATGTTGGTGCTACGACTTGCTCCTGTCCCTTTCATACGTCTCCGTTTCCGCGCTGTGTCTCCAGAGAACGTTTAGTGTTGGTATTGAAAAATTCGCAGGTCTGCCTCGGGTTCCGAGCACGAGACTTTGGACATCTTCCACTCGTTGACTGTGTTGGGCTGGCGGTAGAGAAGCAGTTCTACGGGCTAATCCCCTGGAAGCTGCGAGGGCATCGTTGGGTTGATTGCGCAGTGGGCTAGCTATGGCAGCAGCTGCTTCGCATATTTATCTAGGTTACAACAACTCTAGTGCCCACACTGCTTCCTCCCGTACAAACCATTCGAACATCGTAAATAGACACCCAGATAGCCCAGTTTCGTCAACTCATTCGGTATCCTCCCACCCAGCAATGGCTCCAACCGCTATGGCAAAGAAGGCCAAGGGAAAGAAGCCCGCGGATCCCAGCGAAACATCAAAGCTCTTGGCAGCCAAAATATCCCAACTAGAGCAAGATGCGGCGGGAGAAAAGGACCAGGAGGCTGAAATTGGTATGTTATTCTAAAGGACTGCTCTACCGTAATCGTATATTTTTTCCTTGTCCTGGCGTCTACAGCGCCCTCTTCGGGTAGACAGAATCCCTGAAAACAACTTATAGCTTACATATATGTGTTGCTCTATAGAACGAGAAGTTAAAAAAGCTACTCGTGACTTAAATCAGCTCTTGAACAATATAGAATCGCCCATGACACGCCTTGAGACTGTCCATAAAAAGTACACTGAACTGCTTGCCGATATGAAGAAGCTGGATCGAGATTATGCGAAGAGCAAGAAAAGGGCCGATCAGCTACAGAAGGACCAAGATAAGGGAAAATCTGAGCTGAACAAAACTGCTACCATGAAGGATAAACTTGAAAAGCTGTGTCGAGAATTGACGAAGGAGAATAAAAAAGTCAAGGTGTGTTTGTGGGACCTATCATTTCCGAAAAAAAAAAAAAAAAAAAAAAAAAAAAAAAAAAATACGACATATCTGATGGGATGAATTATGGGTATAGGATGAAAACAAAAGACTTGAAGAGATAGAGAAAAAAGCTCGTGGGGTCGTGAACGCACGACTCGACTCCCTACTCTTTGACATTCAGGACTTCGTTACAGCACGGGGTGATGCTCGTGGAGAAAAAGCCGATATCGATTTGGACGACGCGTAAGTCTAGCAAATCTTCCGTCACTAGCGATTCTCGTGCACATTTCTAACGGTTATTCTCAAGTCTTCGTGCGAAAATCAAGACCATTGGCGAAAAGTTTGAAGCGCGGGAACTGCATTATAAATCTCTCCTCCGCAGTAAGGATGCGGAAATCCAAAGCTTAACTGCCAAATACGAAGAACAAAGGCGTGGGGCGGAAAGCGAAGCGCACAGATGCCGTGCTTTGAGTAGCCAAGTCTCGACGTTTTCACAAACTGAAGCTGAGTTAAGAAGCCAACTCAACATCTATGTTGAAAAATTCAAACAAGTGAGCTTATCCTGGAGTCTTCCTGTCTGGTGTACTTATGTGGTATTTAATAACAAACCAAATAGGTTGAAGATACGCTAAATAATAGCAACGAACTGTTTTTAACCTTCCGCAAAGAAATGGAGGAAATGGCAAAGAAGACCAAGCGACTGGAAAAAGAAAACATGACACTAACTCGGAAACATGAACAGACGAACCGTAACATTTTAGAGATGGCGGAAGAACGAACTCGAAATAACGAAGAGCTCGAAAGATGGCGCAAAAAGAGCAACAACCTTGAAGCTCTCTGTCGACGTATGCAAGAGCAGGGAAGAGGCCAAGCCCTTGCCGGTGAGCTTGATGCGGTAGATGATGAAGGAACGGAAAGTGAATACGATGATGAATTTGAAGATGAAGAGGATGATGAAAACTCGAGTGACGAGGGAGTATATGAGGAGCATCATCATCACCACCATCACCACCACCACCACCAGCACAATGGTGAACATCAAAATTCACCAGCGATAAACCGAGCTCCGGACGGCAAACCGTTTTTTGGACCACCACCACCACCAGCACTTGTGGAGACAAAATCTAATGGGCATCGTGGTGTTGTAAATGGGTACAGGCATTAGAGGGATGAAACAAATCACAAATCACGAAGTAAAAAAACTTGAAAAAAAATCGATGAAAAAAGGAAAAAGAAAAACAAAGCCCCAGAAAACCAGAAATATAACAAGAAGGGGTAGCAGAAACGGTATCTATCTATCCTACCGCACTGTTACTATTCAATCAAGGATTACTTATTGCTATACAGGTTGAAATGGCAATTAATTGGTTGGATAACTTTTCGGTATTTTCTTAGTGATACGGCGGGTATTTCCTATTTCTGTTACCCCCGCCGCCTCATCTCTGTACTGCATTTGCTTCTGTTTCTTTTACTTGTTAGAGTTGTGTCTTGTCGGTTGTTTGTTCCTGTTTCCTCCCCATATTTATTCAATGCCACTTTCGTGTACTACGACCATGTCAGATACACGGTAAAGATGAGAATTTTTCAATGATTCCTGCCAATGATATATTTAGCGATGGCCAAAATGTCTGCAGCATTGGTTTAAAATCCAAGGCGTGTACATGGCAGCATCTTCGAAGAATCTAGCTCGAGTCGGATATTGCTCTGAATTCCTGGCAGAGTAGACAGCATATCAAGCATCCTGGTCGCCGAGCATGTCTCCTCCGTCAGCCATACCTCTCTAGATCATCTGATAAAAGAATGAACCTCTTTCCCATCGTAATTAAATTGACAAACAAGACTAGAAATATTTATATCCAGTGTCAAACAAACCGGGACTACATACCAAATCGTAAACCCCAGATGACAATCACAACTTACTTCCCTCCTTCAAGTATCCATGCCCTACCTTCAACATATGCACCGCCTCCTTAACCATTTCCTCCACAATCTGCCCTGCAGGCTTAATATCCTTCACAACAGCTGCAACATGCCCCATCAAAAACGGGATATCAACATCCTTCCCCTCGTCAAAGTCTTTCATAATAGGCACCACCCCCGCATCCGTGAGCCTCTTAATTTCCTCCGGCTTCGATTGCCACGCCTTTATATAGTCATTCGGCAACACCCGCAGTGGCCGCCCAGACACAACAAGCGTGGTAACCGTATCGCCAAACCCAGCATCCACTACCGCCTCCTTATGCATCCGGCTGGCCCCGCTCTCATCCGACGCCACAAAGCGCGTACCAACCCACACCCCGGAAGCACCCAGCATCAGCGACGCAGCCAGACTGCGCCCGTCACTGACGCCGCCAGCAGCAACAACCAGCGCGGGCTGCCCAGTCAGCGGGCTCTTGTACTTGCGCGCTACGTCCACGACCGCGGGGATCAGGATGGAGAAAGGCACGTCTCCGGTATGCCCACCGCCCTCACCGCCCTGCGCGCACACAATATCCACCCCGGCCGCCAGCGCCTTCTCCGCATGCTTGGGCGCGCCGACCATATTCATAACCAAGATGCCCGCCTCGTGCAGTCGCTTGATAGTGTGTGCCGGCGGCACGCCGACGGCAGAGACAAACAGCTTCGCCCCATGTTTAATAGTCACCTCAATGAGATCATCGAGTTTCCCGTGCGTGTAGTCGTGGTTCGTCTTGCGGGCGCCCTCGCCGACCTTGGGCAGCGCGAGATCAACGCCGAAGGCAGTCGGGGCTTTTCAGGTATGATTTTAGCTCTG